TCAAAAATAAATTTACATTTTTTTTTTGACAAAGATATTTTTCATAACAAAGAGGCACACTAGGCCTCTTTGTTATGAAAAATATAGTTTTTCAATTTATATATATATATATATATATATATATATATATATATATATATATATATATATATATATATATATATATATATATATATATATATATATATATATGTGTGTGTATATATATATATATATATATATATATATATATATATATATATATATATATATATATATATATATATATATTTTGTTCTTTTATCTTTATAATGTTGTGATTCTACATGATTGGTACAAAGTTATAATGTTTTTAAAATATATAATACTAAAAATATATCACAATTTTATAGAATACAAAAAATATGATTGTAGGGTAACATTAATATTAAAAGAACGCGGGAAACTAGATGGTCTTGTCATCAAGAAACCGCTTGTACTTGTAATATTTTTTGTATTTTCGTTTTACAATGTATCTAGTTTCACAAAATACTTCATTTTATATTAGATTCACATATAATAAAATGTAGAAATAAAAAAGTTGGTAAATACTGTTTGTAGTACACATAATACACATAAATATATTATTAAGCATAAATATAATTATTATTGACTTATATTGATTTTTTATATTAATATATAATATTAAAGTTTTTTTGGATTTTGTTTTCAATTATAATTTTGGTTTTACTTTCAGTTTTAGTTTAGTGTAAGTTCAAATAATTACTGATATTTAAAACGAACTTTTTTAGTAAGATTTCAAACAATTTATGTTATCTAATTTTGTAATAATGGCATTTTTGGATATCAGTTTATTATAGAGATAGGGACCGCCATATGATATTGTGAAATTTTGTTTATGAAATTGTTTGTTAAATATATGTACAGTTTATTATAAATTATTCGTTCGAGAAGTTTTGAGAATACAGGAAGGATTGAGATTGGTCTATAGTTGTTTAGTAAATATGGTTCTCCAGTTTTATATATAGATACAATTTTTGCAGTTTTTAATTTCTCTGGAATGGTTCCTGTTATAACTGAAGATTTAAATATTTCAAAGAGGGGTTTTTTTATTATCGGAAAGATATTTATTACTACATAGCTACAAATTTCATTAATTCCTGGTGCTTTGTTAATTTTTAAAGAGTTTTTTTGCATTTTCAAGTTCTTCATAGCTTAATCCATTGAAAATTAGTTCGCTATTTAGATCTGTAAGGTAATTTTCAAAGGAGTCATTTGTAGTTAAAATTTTAGACGCCATGTTTGGGTCTATGTTTGCAAAGAAATTGTTGAAGTGTTCGGCAATTGAGTTCTTATCATCGTGTTCGGTTTCATTTATAATGATTCTATTTGGTAAACTATTTGTTTTTTTTGTTTTTTTTTCCCGATCATTTCTTTCATAATGTTCCATGTTTTTTTCATGTCTCCATTTGTTTTTTTAAGTAATTTAGAGTAGTAAATTTTTTTAGAATATTTTTTGATTTTTTCGAAAAGATTTTTGTATTGTTTATAAGTAGATAGGTTAATCTCTTTTCTGTTTTTCAAATATTTAACGTATAGTTTTTGTTTTGTTTTTAAAGATTTTTTAATACCGCTGGTGATTCATGGACAGCTCAAATATTTTACTTTGATTTCTTTTTCTTTGATAAGAAAATGATTTTATAGTGCTTTAGAAAAATATCTGTAAAAGTATTATATGCAGAGTTTGTGTTCCCAAGGTTACATTCTTGATACACTTTAACCCAATCTACTGCCGATAGTGTGTCTTTAAAATTTTGAATTGAAAATTTATTTATTTTTCTTTTATAAGTTATTTTTTTCAAATTATTATTTACTCTTGTATCATTTTTTATTGTAAAGTAAATTGGAAAATGATCTGTTATATCAATTTTTACTATTCCTGCTTTTAAGGAGGATCTAGAAATGAGTTTGTTAGTATGTTATCTATGGCAGAAATAGAATTTAAGGTTTACCGTGTGGGTTTATTAACAATTGGTAAAATACAATGTTGAAACATGTTATCAAAAAATAATTTAGTAATCGGAAACTCATTGTATTTTAAACAATCTATGTTGAGGTCCCCAACACAGAATAACTTTTTTTGTTCTTTATTGATTTTGAGAAAAATTTCTTCTAGATAATTAGAAAAAGTTTTAATATTACCTTCAGGTGGTCTATAACAGGAGAAACAATAATATTTTTAAACTTGGGGTTTATGATTTCTATTGTAAAGACCTCACTATCGGCATTAGAAATGAAGTGGTCTTTTCTTACTTTTATTGCTTGATCATTCCGAACTTAATTTGCAATCCCTCCTCCTTTTTTGCATTTTTTCTTTCAGAAGATATTAATTTATAATTGGGAATTTGAAAGTTAGTGTTATTTTGGATTGATTCGTCAGAACACCAAGTTTCTGTTAGACAAATCATACTGAATAAGTAATTACAATCAATTAGGAAGTGCTTAAGTTTGTCAAAATTTTTATTTATGCTTCTTATATTTATGTGAATTACTGTAAAATTATTTTTAATAGTTTCAAGTTCAGTTTTAAAAGTTTCAGTTTTAACATATCGAGAATCAAAATTATTCATTTGAAAAATATGCGTATCAGCGTCAATGAGTATTTTATTAGCAGTTTCGAAAACATTAAAGCGCATTGATTCAAAATCTATTGTTTTGTTGTTCATTGTTTTAAAATTTAAAAATGAAAACGCGTTTACTTAATTAACAAAAAGTGTAGCGCTATTTTTTAAAATCTCGTGTAAATATTTTATCATATTTTAAAATGGCGTATTTACCTTCGCTTCTTAGTTTTTTGACTTCTTCCCATAACTTTCTTCGATGATATATTGTTTCTTGAGCGAAGTCTTCATTTATGTATAGTCCAGTTCCTTTAAGTTATTTTACTGCTTTGAGAATTTTGTTTTTGTCTTGGTAGTTCAAGAGTTTTAAGAATAATGTTCTTGGTTTGTTTTCTTTAAATTGTCCGATTCGATGAGCTTGTTCGACCACCACTTCACTAGTTATTTTCAATAGTGTTTTGAAAATGTCTTTAACAGCCTTTTCGCAATCTTCCCAACTTTCGCCTGGTGTTTCTTGTAGCCCATCAATTCTTAAGTTGTTCTTTCTTGATCTATTTTCTAGATCTATAGATTTTTTATATAATGAATTGATTTCTTTGTCATAGTATTTCTTTATTTGTGATATTTTTTTCCGAGATATCATTTTCTTGAAAATTTAGGCTGTCTTTAATGTCGCTTAAGTCTTTTTCTATATTTGATATTTTACATTTGTTATTAATGTCTTTCTCTAGCATGTCCAATCTATCTGTAATAATTTTGAGATTTGCACTGATAATTGAGGTAAATGATTTTTCCTGGTCTTTTAATAATCTTTCCGTTTCTTTTAGGATACTTTTTTTGTGCTCCTTAAGTTTACTTGAAATTATTTTTTCAATGTTTTTCATTGTGATGTTCATTTTTTTTTATATATATAAATGCTTAATCTACGCTACCGTATAAATAATATAATATACCGTATAAATATATAAATAAATGAAGAGATCTAACGTTCATTAAACCACATTTAAGCGGGCATTGAACTAGGTTCAATGCCCACTCTGTCCATATATAAGCAAAACCTGAATAAAAAGCAGCATGAACATCCTAGTATAATACTTTGTGGTACTGTGTCAAGCTAAAGAGCTTTTACGACGACATTTTTAGCGGATATCATCTTTCGGCTCTTACAACTTTTAGATCATTTATAAAAAGCTGCTGGAAGACTGCAAAAACATTTCGCTTGTTTCATTTTTTCCTAAAATTTGTTTTGAATGTGAGCGCTACCGCCTCATCGGAAATTGCGACTTTTTGTAGCCACTTATGAAAATATTTCCTTGGAGTACACCGTTTAAACTTGGAGTACACTGTTTAAACTTGGAGTACACTGTTTAAACTTGGAGTACACTGTTTTTCTTTCGTTTGAAATATTATGTATAATTTGAATTACTGCATCAAATATGGTTCTAGTTGTCTCGGCATATTATTATAATTATTTTTACTCTGCAATAGTATGTGTATTTACAATACAGAGAGCTAACAAGTAAGGCGTCTAAATGAGGGGAAACATTCTTTTAAAAACGTGTCGACTTTTCGTCTTTTAAACGGATTTCCTTACATCGAGAGGGAGAAGAAAAAATTTTTGCTAATGTTTGAAGTATGTTTTTTTCTTTTTTTTTAAATTTTTTTACCCTAAGAAGACCTAAGGAAATCGAAACCTGAATTCTTTCAAAATTTTTATTTTTGAGGATCTAAAATAACTCTTAAGTCATAATTTGGTATTCTTAAGTCATTGATTTATAGAATTATCATGTAAGAAAAAAATACTTATAAACGTAACAATGACATTGTATAATTTGTGAAAATTAACAAAGAAATCAGATTTAATCAATTAAAGAGAATTTATTTCTTACTTTTTTTACATAATTTAGGTTGTGAAGTTTTATTTCTTACAATTTACGATAGTTGCAAATACAAAATATTCAAAAATCTAAATAAATATCCCTGAAGAATCTAAATAAAAATATCTGACAACAATTTACATAGATACACGACGAACATATTGTATAACCGAGCTTAAACAATTTAACATGATAAAACAACATGATTAAATGAACATGAAAATAACCAAAAAAAGTTTTAATGACATTTAAATGTAATTTAAAAACTGACTATGTAAAAACAACGCAGAAAATAATTTATTAATTTAAAACTGTTAAAATTTTTGTTTTGTTAAATTAATTTAACTTACATATAAAAAAAAATAACCTTAATATAAAATTTTTTATTTATCTATCTTTACAAATTACCGAATTGGTTACCACATAAGTCAATTTTATAAACGTTTATTCTAAATAAAATATCAATAAATAAAAAGTAACGAGTAATATGTCGCAAAGCTATGTATGTATATATATATATATATATATATATATATATATATATATATATATATATATATATATATATATATATATATATATATATATATATATATACACATAGCTACCGCGATACCTATATTTCCGTTTAACAAAAAGTTACAAATATTGAAACTAAATTCTCTTCACGTTCCTAAAAAGAAAACATTTATTTTAAAGAAACAATGAAGGCTTCAAGAAAAAAAAAAAAAAAAAAAACTTAACGTAAAAAGAAATAACAGAAAACATGAGTGATGAACGACAATTATTATTGATATGATCTAAATAAAGCAAAGTTAAAAAATGTTAACAAAATCAAAAATTTTGAATGAAATAGATGACAATATGACTCAGATTGAACAAATGAAACTATTAAATGGAAATTTCACTAAGAATGGTTACTGAGTGGAAAGTTAACTACTAAAAAAAATACTTTTATTTAAAAATTTATACTATTAGATAGTTTCAGGTTAAATCAAACCAAAAATATATACTGTTAGACAAAAAAATAATGTTAACTCAGAGTTTGATGATTTTTGGTACAAAGTCTTTGTCATTATTTTTTACGGTTTAGAAAGAAACTTTGTTCAATAGTTTTTTTTAACCACAACATAAAACAATCAAGTTTTAAATTTATTTTTGTAATGATGATGAAAATTTGAAATAAAAGGTTTCATAAAAACTAACCAATTAAATTAAATTACAACAACTCTTTGCATAAATTTATTTACAAGTTAAAATTTAATACAGTTGACTAAAATCAAAATAGGTTTTTGTTTAAAATTTAAAAAATATTAACAAAAAGATCTTGCTTCACCCCTATAACTAAGAGCGCTATTTTTCAAATACGACCAATGTGTTCTGGAATTATATTACTTTGTTGGAATACATTTGTCATATATGCAATTAATTAGATTTTAGGTTAACTAATGAGGAATAAAATTCCTAATTAATCTACAACAGCCTCTTTTTGCCGAACATTCAATTTACCAGTGAAAAGTGCTAAAACTTAAATTTTTTAAAAAATAAGAACTTCGTACCTAATTTTAATTAACTCGACTTTTCTATTACTCGGTTTTCAAATAGTGAAATTATAAAATACTTAGTTATTCGAATATACTTGACGTAAATATAATGAAATATACTAAAAAAATTTACAAATTTTATTTCATTTTAAGACTTTAATAAGAATTGTTTTACAAACATTAATAAGTTATTGTAAAATAACAATAAACAAAATAAATGACCTTTTAAGTAAATAGTTATGTATTATATTATAAAATAGTTGTTTAATCTATATTTAAAAAGTCGTAATTTCGGAAAAGTATATAATCTAATAATATAATAATAAGTATATAATATAATAAAAGTATATAAAGTGTTAAAATTCAAACTTGTTCTTTTTTTGTGTTAATCGATCGAGCAACAGAAAACTAGATTTAATTTATCGTCTTCACTATTTTTTTACTGTAACAGTTTAGAGGATTTATTTGTTATTGACAATATTTCTTTTTTGTAGCACTTATTGTAAATTTCCACAAAATCTTTAAAAACTTTAAATGAACAAAAACTTTAAATGAACCTGAAATACTCATTCTTAGTTCTTCTCAACTAAACATTTGTAGGTTGATCCCAATATTTCAGCAACATCTCTTAATGAGTATTTAAAGTTTTCGTATGATAGTGAAACGTTATCCGTCTGGAGATGAGTTAGTAATGTAATTAAGGTCTCATTCCTTTTTTTTTTTTTTAACTGAAACAATAGCTTTTTTCTTAAATTGGATATCATATCATCCAGCTTATTAAACAAGAATTTATGCATGCTTTCAGCTGTTATAAGTTTTGCATTATTCTTGCTTAGTTCTTTGACAACTATTTCAAATCAATTCAAAAGGTTGGCAAGCATCAATATGCCTTCCAAAAAAAACATGTTCTTTTTTAAATTAGTTAATTTTTCCTTAACACAGTGCACAACTTTTAAAAACCTCCACGTTCCAATGTATTTTTTTATCTAGATTTAGTTTTAGTTTTTTTCTTTTTTTTGCGAAATGCGTTCTTGTAAAATGATATGTTTCACTGCAGAAATTTTAACCATTTTTATGGTTGCACACTATCTTAACAATTCGAGAGAAATTGCTATTCATCAGAAAAAATTGAGTAATTCTTCATTCTCGTCTTCCTTGATATAAGAATTATTATCATCACTATTTGGTGCACCCTTTTCATTTAGAGGGTTTTTTAGTGAGATCAACATTGACAAAATAACTATCCTCATTTGTGCCATTAACATAATCAATAATTTGTATAAAATAATCAATAACTCTCATCATCATGTTTTATATAGAAAAATTCATTACAAATAAATGTAAAGCATGGTTATGGCAGGGCTGGCTTACTGCACCTAAATTTATTCCATATTTTATCATTAACCCTGTCCTATCCTTGGTTTAAGCAAAAATGCTCCTTTTGGATTTGGATTTGGGCCAATTTTGTTTTCACTAGTAAATAATTTGTTTCAGCATTACATTGGTCCATAATTTCAGTCAACCCAAGGACATAACTAGCAGATGTATTTGAATCTGGATTAATAACATGAGCATTAATTTTTGTCTGAGATGCAATTTTGTCTGAAGAGAAAGAGCGTCATTCGAAGAACCTAAAATATTCCAACAGTATTCTATACAGGGACGAATAAGAGATTTGTAGAGGTAGAGAATTGAATCAGTAGTAAGAAAATGGCAAGCATGATAAAGAGATACAATTTTAGCAGAAGCTAATTTAGCAATTGATTTTATATTTAGTTTCCATGAGAGGTCTGTAGTAAAAAATAATTTAAGAAAACATAAAAAAGAGATCTCAATGAGAGGGTTGCCATTCATCAATATAGAAATGTTGACAGTATTGCATAGTTGTTTGCAAATAACTGAGCTTTATTGGAATTAAAATTCACAAGCCAATTCAAGCCCCAATCTGTTACAGAAGTGAGATTAAAATCAAGATCGGCTTCCTGTTCTAAGAGATCGAAAGCAGAAGAATTGTTTCCAGTTTGGAATGTTGAAAGCTGGATGATCTTGACTTATTGCATGGATTTTGTTTGTACCTCTGTTTTTATGACTAGGCAACTCATTCTATTATCTCCTAATGAGGGTACAGCTCTAAACCTCAGTTTTATGGTTCCGAAGCCAGATAGTAGTCAGGTTTCCCAAATTCTGTGGTAGCTCTCAGAGCAGCTGATTCCATCAATAGCTTTAAAGTATCAGAGTATTAATAGTGCCATGTTGTGCATGGTTGGTTTCTCTGTGCACACTTTAGGTGCGCATTGTCAAGGCAACATTAGGAGCCTTTTGTTACAGCTTAGAGTTTATGAATAGTATTGAGGAAATTGCTTGGACTATTAGATGGTGTACTGCTGGTGATCTGTTTTGAGTCATGTCCTTTAACCTATTTTAAAAATGACTCAAGTATCAAAAACTGTAAAACACAAAAAAACATTGTCACCAAGTTCTCTAAATAATTCACTAATATTCTTGGTCTTTGAAGTAACTTTTCTTCTGTTGAGTTTTATCTCTTGCAAAGTTTACCAGACCTACTTGCTCTTTGTTAGACTAATTTAAGTTTGGCTGTCTCATCTTGTGATCTTAGTGTTGATGGTTATCTTCCTTTAATTCGTAAATAGTCACATATTTGGTCTAGGCATTTATATTCATAAAAGTTAATCTATTTGTGAGGAAACTAGGTTTGAATCCACCAACTATTCTTTTATGTGCTTTTGTTTAGCACCACTTCGCCCTAATGCCTTTCTCTTTGTTTTATATCGCTCTCCTTCATCCCAAGACTCAAATTGACCAAGTTCTCATTCTTTTGAGAGTGAATTTGTTTGAAAGGGAATTTGTTTTTCCTTATTTTATTTTTAATTTCAATTTTAGCTGTTTTTTCTTATTTTTTTAAACACTTTTCATAATTTTTTTATGAGTAATGAGTGAAACAGCTTAAAAAACAAATATATAACAAAAATATATACCTAAACTTGCATGTATTGATAATGTTTTGGATATCCGGAAAAACTAAAAGTTGAAAAAATATCCGGAAAAAGATAATCCCTGTATTATAAACCATTGTAAAAAGGTTTTGTCTAATACCAAAGCCCATTATTCTCAGGTCACAAAATCTTGTATTTCATCTAAAAAATTTGGCTCCAGAGAATTTTTAACAGTGTCTATAACAAGGACAAATCTGTTATTTCTCCTTTCTTGCATGGTTCAGATTTGGTTACCTCACCTAAAGACAAAGCTGAATTGTTTACTACGAACTTTTCATCAATATCATCCACTAATCACCTCCTATCTGATATAGCCGACAGGTTGATTTATTGCTTGATATTTGTATCAGCTTCTTAATCTAAAGTGATTTCCTGCTATTAACATACTTGTTATAGTCTGGAGCTGTTATCTACTTTCAAAAATATTTAACAAGTGCTTACCAGAGTCTTTCCAGCTTGTTGGAAAGCGTTTGATAAACATCTGTTATCCCTATTTTCAAAAATTCTGGAGAGTGATCTGACTTATCTAACTACCATCCCATTAGTCTTCTTCCCATAATAAGCAAAGTTTTTGAGTCTTTAATTAACAAACACTCAATCTCTCATTTTAAACCTAATAACTTTCTGATCATCAATATAGATTTTGATCTTCTTGTTCTACTTCTGATTTGTTAATGGTAATAAACAATTTTTATTGTGCACTAGATAGACTTCAGAGTTCCTCAAGGTTCTATCGTTAGCCCTGACCTATTTTTAATTTACATTAACAATCTCCCAGAAGTTCTCACATCTAAGGTGGATTTGTTCACTAATGATATTACCATCTATTCTTATCTTGATAAGAATCCAACACTTGATAAGAATCCACACCGATTGCTTGGACAGGGCATTTAAGCTTGCAAAAGGTCTCACTTCAACTCTCACTGACTAGTAAACTTTAACTCAGATAAAACTCAATTTTTTATTCTATTCATGAACGGTAATGTACTCAATTAGTCATCTACTCTTTATTTTGGAAACCATATATATAAATCCATTGTAAAACTAGCATCTACTAAGGTTGCATCTTTTTACAGTGCTTGCCACTTTCTTACACAGGATTCTATTCTTTACCTCTATAAATCTCAAATCCATCTTTTTATGTAATACTGTTGCCATATCTAGAGTGGATATTTGAATGACGCCCTTTTACTTTTAGACAAAGTGCAAAAATGCATTGTAAACAAAGTTGAACCTGCACTTGCAGCAAACCTTTAATCATTGTCACATTGCAGTAATGTTGCTTCTCTTTTTCTTTTCTTTAAATACTATAATAAGCGCTGCTGTAAAGAACTAGCATCTCTTGTGCCATCTACTAAAATTAATTGTTGTGTTACTCGTCATTCAAGTAGGTCTCATTTTTTTACTGTGACTGTTCCTAAGTGCACCAAAAATTCTTATTCATCTAGTTTTTTTTCTCAAACATCAGTTCTTCCGCCTCCACCTAATGGACAATAAAATCTTTCAGTTTCAAAGATCAAAAACTTTATTGATTGTCTGACAGTAAGTTATTTGACTCAAGTTTTACTTCAAGTTAGAATTTGTTGATTAAAGACTCAAAGATCTTGCTAATTATTTAGGATAATTGCTAATTATTTAATTGGACCTTTGGGATAAAAGACTGATTGGATGATAATTGGAGGGGTCAGAATGTTTACCAGAGGTTTTAAAAATTATAACTACAGATGTCATTTTCAAACTGGTAGGAAAACAAGATTCAGTCAAGCACTTATTAAATATTTCAGAGAGAATTGAAGAGAGTTCTGGAGAACACTTTTGTAAGACTATGACAGGAACGTTGTCCATAAGCCATAGAAGAGTTTGAGATATGACTCGATCAATGGAAATGGGAGTGATTTGAATGTCTAATTATGAGTTAACCTGTTTAATTGGAATGGAAGGAAGAGTATTGCCATAAAGCTTATATTCCTGCCTGAACCCAGGAGGTTATGTGGGAGATGCATATACCAGCAGAAAGAGAAACCATCATTAAGAACATCCCCAAAGAATTTAGGGTAGTAGTAAATAGTGCAATGACAGAGTGAGTTCAAAGAAGAAGTACAAGATGAAAGATTTATAGAGATCATTGCTTTGTTGGAACCACCTAAAGAGAGAACAAGGGTCGGAGACAAAACTCAAATCAAAGAGTAAAGGTAAGTGATTAGGGTTGTCAAGAAAACAACTCACAAATCGGAGTAAAAGATTGAAAAATGCAGCTACTTGTTATGGGCTTTAGTGCCAGCAAGGCATTGGTGTTAGAGACAAGCCATTCAGCGTGATGAGCATTAAAGTCACCAATAAAAACAATATTTTTAAAAATGTTACAAGAAAGAGTGCAAGGTCAATTTGATCAGAAATTACATCTAAAAGAGTGCAGTCACAAGAAAGGAGAAGGACAATGAACAAAGAGAAAAGTGATACAACAGAGAGTTGCTAAGCGGAAAAATAAAAGAATGGTCAAAGGATTCAAACCTGATTTCTAGAGAAGTAGGTGAATTGAGGAATTGAGAATTCATACTCCCAAGCCAAGCATGTGACTATTTTTTTAAGAATCAAAGGCTAGTACCTATCAAAACTGAGATCTGAAGAAGGAACAGCCATATTTAAACTAGTCTCATAAAGAGAAAGCAAGTCTGATAAATTTTGTAAGAGGTAGGATTCAACTGATGGAAGGTAACTATGAAGACCATGAATATTTGTGAAAGATTTATTGAAACAGTTAGATGGTGTTGATCTTTTTTTGTTTAATATTTTAGGTTATTTTAGGCATAATTTAGCTTGAGAACTTAAATTATCTATAGATAGAGCACACCACCCAAAGCAATGAGCTATGCAATTGTCTCAGTTTTGCTAATCAAACCAAAGTTGTAACTTAGGGCTCCTTATGTAGCCTTGACAATGCATACCAAAAGCATTAACAGAGACACCATCTATGAGTAACATGGCAATGTTAATACTCTGAAATTTTACAGCTATTGATAGAACCAGACTCTCTTAGAGCTACCACAGAGTTTGGGAAACCTTATTACCAGCCGGCCTCAGATCCATTAAACTGAACTTTAGAGCTGTACCTTCATTAGGAGATAACAGGAAAAGTTGCATAGCCACTATCAGGGAGGCACAAACAAAAATCTATGAGTAGAGTCAAGAACATAAAGCACTAATCACCCTAAGCAGGCCAGGGGTTGAATTATTCTACTTACTCCTTAAGTCTTTGCTTATGAGGTCTTCTGCAAGACTGTAGTTGGAAGCAGTTAACATCTGGCCAAGATAAGTATTTTTATCGAGACACCAAACCTAGTCTTTACTCAACCTAGTACCCAATGGCAAGGGCATTTTAGCTGGATGTTTTATACATGTTCAACTTTAGTAACATTTTCTGTCAAACGCTTACTCTCTTTATGGTGAATAATTTTTTAATCATCCTATTTGCTTATATACTATTGACATAAATCACCAAAATCTTTGGTTTAAAAACTGCCAAATTAAATTCATTATAAACTTTTTACAATGAATTTGATTTAAGTTTGTGTAAACGACATGTACATTTTAACTGTACTCAACAAGCATACAATCTTTGATTTTTTATGTAGCCTGAAAAAAAGTTCCCATACAAAAAAATTATATAACGAAACTAAACTAAAAAAAAAAATATCTGCAGCATGTTTTTTTATAGCAAGTACATAAAAAAGAAATGATTGGCACATATATAACTCATTTATTTTCAAAAATAGAAGTTAAAGTGTTGCATTTGAATACAACACTTTAACTCCAGACTGTCAATATGTGTAAACCTTTAATAACTTTATCAGTTTGAAAGTTAAGACAACTGAATTTCCTAAAATCTACCTATGAAACTACTTAATTTTTTAAAAATATAATTCTATAAACTCTTAAAATATATCTTTTACAATAATAAAAAATATAAATAAAATTACATGAAAAAAATATCAAGTTTATTGCAAAGTTTTGTTATAATATCTGGTTTTTAATACACAGGAGGTTATACTTTCTGGTGATGCGCAGGAGGGGAAATTTATTTTTAGATAACTTTAACATTCTAAGCTTATTTAGATCCCCTCCCCGGTATTAAAAAAGAAACTGTATCTCATAAACATTGATGAATCATCTATTCCATAAAAAAAACTATTAATGTAAACCAGCCCTAAAAATTAGAAAATATGAACATACTGATAAAAATAAAATAAACTTTGAAATGACTTTAACTATGCAATGAGGCTTAAAAATTAGATTATGTTAAAATAATTAAAAAAGAAAACTTTTGAAATGAAACCAAAAAGTACCGAAAAAATCTCAAATATCAATCTCAATCTTTAAAAAATTTACTTTTTACAAAAAATTAAATTTACCAATCAAAATATTTTATTTAACAGCCATTGTCAATAAAAATCTTTTTGCATCTTCAATTTCTTTCTAATTGAAAAATAAATAAATAAATTTTAAGACAATTAAATATTTTACAATAATGCTTCTAAAGGCATTTAAATATATTCTGAAAAAACTGATCAAGAAATGTTTGTTACATGTATGAAAATAAACTTTATTTAACCTTTCTTCGTTCTTTGTTCCAATCTAGTTGATCCCCCATTTTTGTCACAACAAAAGGCAAAATACTGTTAGCAGCACTAACATCTAAAAATGCAAGTCGAATTCTTCTTGCTAAAAAGTCAACAGCTGTACAAGCATATTCCTATAAAGAATATTATATCATAAAATCTAATTTATAAAGTGAAATGTAAAACTGAATGAAAAAAATAAATTTTAACTCAAAGTTTCACTCATAAATTTTTGTTAAAGCAATATTTAAAAAAAGAAAAGGAAAATAAAAAATAAAATTTTTAGGAAAATATGCAAAGCTTAACTATATAAATTTTTTAATGTTTAATAACATTTAATAAAGTGGAAAAGTTAATAAACTATGAATAATTCTGGTTGCTTTCCAAACCATGAATACTTTGAAACGTTGCGCAAAAAACCTTAAATTTATTTCAGATCATTTTTAAACAATAAGGAACCCACTTAAATCAGAAGTTCCTATGAAATAGGAACTTCTCTCTTCTCTTCTTCTTCTCTGAAATCTCTCTTCTCTTCTTCTTTTAAAATCTCTCTTCTCTTCTTCTTCTGAAATCTCTCTTCTTTTCTTCTTCTGAAATCTCTCTTCTCTTCTAAAATCTCTCTTCTCTTCTTCTTCTCTGAAATCTCTCAGAGAGGCTGATTCCATCAACAGCTGCAAAATATCAGAGTATTAACAGTGCCATGTTGCGCATGGATGGTGTCCCTGTTAATGCTTTTGGTGTGCATTGTCAAGGCCACATAAGGAGCCCTATGTCACGGCTTAGGGTTAATTAACAGGACTGATACAACTGCATAGCTCATTGATTAGGAGGCTGTGATCTATCTATGAATGAGTCAAGTTCTCATTAAACCCAAATCATGACCAAAGTAACCAAAAATTTAAAACCTAAAAAACCATCCCCACCACCTAAATATTTTAATATATCTTTTACAATTATTCGCAGTCTACGAAGCAACTTTCCATCAGTTGAGTCTTAGCTCCTGCAAAATTCACCAGACTTGCTTGCACTCAGTGAAACAAATTTAAATTCTGCAATTCCTTCTTCAGATGTCAGTGTTGATGGGTACTATCCTTTGATTCGTAAAGACTCAAATAGCCACATGCTAGGTTTAGGGGTATACAAACGCATTAATTCCCCTATTTGTCGTGAAATCAGGTTCAAATCCTTTGACCATTATTTTATGTGCTTTCGCCTAGCACCTCTTCACTCTATCACCTTTCTCTTTGTTCTTTATCGTTCTCCTTCTTCCCATGATTGCACTCTCTTAGATGCTATCTCTGATTAAATTGACCATGCCCTCTTTCTCTTTACCCCTCTGCCAATATTGTTGTTGTTGGTGATTTTAATGCCCATCACACTGAATGGCTTGGCTCTAACACCACTGATCCTGCTGGCACTAAAGCCTTTAACTTCTGCGTTTCTCAATCTCTTACTCAGATAGTTAACTTTGTGACTCGTTTTCCTGACAACCCTAATTATTTACCTTCACTCCTTGACTTATGTCTTATCTCTGACCCTAGCTTATGTTCAGTTTCTCCCTTTTCTCCCTTAGATGGTTCTGACCATGCAATGATCTCTATAAATCTTTCTTCTCATACTTCTTTTTTGGGCTCACCTTATCATCGCACCACCTACTACTACCCTAAAGCTGACTGGGATTCCTTTCGTGATTTTCTTCATGATGGTCCTTGGGCTGATGTTTTTTCTCTCTCAGCTGACAAATGCGCCTCCTACGTAACCTCCTGGATTCAGGCTGGAATGGAAGCTTTTATTCCTTTGCGTCGGTTTCAAGTCAAGCCTCATTCTACTCCATGGTTTTCTCCTTCTTGTGCGGCTGCTATATCCAATCGTAATCATTTTTTTCATCTTTTTCAAAAGAACAACTCTCTTGAGAACAAACGGCTATTTATTATTGCAAGAAATCGATGTAAAAAGGTGCTTTTCTCCATTATTCTCAGTTCACTAAATCTCGCATCTTATTGCAGAAGTTAGGCCCTAAAGACTTTTGGAAAATCTTCAACAGCATTATTAACAAGGGTAGATCTAACATTCCATCTCTCATTCATGGGACTGATCTTGTTACCTCTCCCAAGGATAAGGCAGAACTATTTGCAAAGAACTTTTCTTCTAATTCCACTCTTGAATCTTATGGACATTCTCTTCCTTCCATTCCAGTCAAACAGGTTGACCCATTGTTAGACATTCAAATCACGTCTACAGCTTGTGGTCCAGACAACATTCCTGTCACAGTCTTGCAGAATTGTTCTCCAGAACTTTCTTCAATTCTCTCTAAACTATTTAACAAGTGTTTGACTGAGTCTTGTTTTCCTTTTTGTTTTTGAGATTATCAAATCATTTTTTTCTAACCGGTTTATTAAAGTCATCCTTGAAGGCCAACACTCTTCTTTATTTCCAGTAACTTTTGGGGTTCCCCAAGGTTCCATCCTGGGCCCTGTTTTGTTTCTTATCTACATAAACGATCCTCCTGACAACCTTTCATCTAAAGTAGCTCTTTTTGCTGATGACTCAACTTTATACTCCTGTTTTGACAAAAAGTCTTCTCTTTTCGATCGCCTAGAACAAGCAGCTGATCTTGAATCCGATCTCACTTCAGTAATAGATTGGGGTTCACAGTGGCTTGTGAATTTCAACTCTAAAAAAACCCAGTTGCTTACTGCAAACAACTACTGTAATATGGTCAACATTCCTATATTAATGAATGGCAATCCTCTTACTGAGTCCTCCCTCTTTACGTCTTCTTGGATTATCACTTACTACTGACCTTTCATGGAAACCATATATACAATCGATTGCTAAATTAGCTTCTGCTAAGGTTGCTTCTCTTTATCGTGCTTGCCATTTTCTTACTTCTGATTCCATTCTCTACCTCTACAAATCTCTTATTTGTCCCTGTATGGAATACTGTTGTCATATTTGGGCTGGTTCTTCTAACGGTTCACTTTCTCTTCTTGACAAGGTCCAAAAACGCATTGTAAACGTTGTTGGAACTGGACTATCTGCTAAGCTTGAACCTCTTTCCCATCATCGTAAAGTTACATCTCTTTCTCTTTTCTACAAATACTATCATGGTCACTGCTCAAAGGAGTTATCATCTCTAGTTCCATCAACTAAAATTCATTCTCATTTTACTCGTCATTCAGCTAGTCTCATTCATTTACTGTATCTGTCTCTGCATGCTCTAAAAACTTTTATTTATCTAGTTTTTTTCCCCACATTTCAATCCTTTGGAACTCTCTCCCATCTTCATGTTTTCCTGACTCATACAACCTTCAACTTTTCAAGTCTTCTGTCAACCGTTTCCTTGCTCTATAACTCTGTTCTTTTTTTTCCTTGTAACTCCCAACTTAATAGTGGTTGCTTGCAGCCTTGTTGGGAGTTAATGCAAATGAAAAAAAAAAAAATAATAAAAAAAAAATAAAAGACACTTAAAAACTTATTAGATCCTTTAAAATCTTATATGAATAAAAAAAAATAAACAAAGATCAAAATAATTATTGTTTATCAATGAATTGTATTTGTTAAAAAAAGGTGAAACAATGTAACACAGGTTTATGTCTACATCAGTCTATTAGATAAGAAAAATGTGTAAGCTAGTCAGCAGAAAGGCCTTATATAAGATAGCAGCAGAATACAGTTGAAATCTACCAAAGATGAGTACTTTTATTGAGACAATGAGCTCAGTGTCTCCACCCTAGTCTTTAATGAAACAAAAGCCAAAATTTTTTTATTTAACTTAAGATATTTTATGTCAGAGTTCAAATCAAATCTAAGACAGCATAACAAGTTGTACTAGATAACATGGATAACATGTTGCCAGTAGTAGTTACCTTGTACTGGATTACAGGTTACCAGTACTATCTTAATGATAAAACCATTTATTTTATAGAGTTTTGCAAAGTTATAAGTGCATGTTTTTAAAGTTATAACTGCATGCTTGCAAAGTTGTAAGTGCATATATTTTTTTGGAAAATATTTTTTTTAGTTATAAAAAACAAAAAATATTGTGGAAATTATTATTAATTAATTATTAAATTAAATTACATCATAGCAATCAAAAAGTGTTTTTTTTTTTTTAAAAAAAAAGTGAAATTTTTTTACATTTTTACTTAATTTAGCATATTGCTTTATATATCAATAACTTTTCTAAATTAAATTCTAGATACTTACTTTCCATAAGTTTTAAAAAATAGTATACATTATTTAATCATAAATTTCTAAAAAGGCATGCAAAAATATACATTATTAAAAAAAAAATTAACAAATCATTTCAAATATTTTAATTAGATAAACTCTTCTATCCTTATTGCCTTTTTCAACCATCTTATCTTTATATAAAAGGCATTGCAGTGTTGACTATAATTATTATTAGGTGATAAAATATATTCTAGAGTTTCTTCAATAGTCATATCAGGATTAGCATTTCTTGTGGATTTGAAATTGGTTTTTAACATTAAAAAGAACTTTTTGATTGGAGAGTATAGTACTAAAAACTAGTGATATTTTTTTCTCTTAGTAATTGAAGTACTGCAGCTGCTTTATGAAATTTTGCATTATCTATTATAAGGATTTTATATGGATTTACTGCAAAGAATGGTACTAGTTTGTTGTTGATGAAATCAATAAATGATTGTCTATTATATGCACCACTTTTGTTTTGGAAACATTCAACTCCTAAATTGGAAATTAAGCACATAAGGCTAACATTCTGTCCTTTATTTGCAGGAACTTTCAAGTACGTTCAAGAACTTTCAAGGTTTTGTATCTTTTGGAGAATAGCCATGAGCGCACTGTTTATTGAATCTGGTTTCATCTAAAAAAAACAAATTTGAATCAGCAATTCTAGTAACTTCTGCCTCAAAAATTGATTTCCGATTTATTCTTTCCGTGGTATTTCTTTCTTGAGAAATTATTGCTAATCTTTTTCATGTCAAATTTAATTTCTTTAATTCACGGGAAACAAATGAGATCAAAACATTTTTATCATGTTGTTCTAAAATTTGAATTTGAATTTTGTTTTGAATTACGGCATTGTTACAGACCACAGAATTAAACATTTTCTGTTGAATGTTTGTATTTATAGAATTTTTAATTTTATGTTTCTTTTCTTTTTACTAAAATATTATTACCACTACTTTTTATAACACATTTCAAGTTGAATTACAAGAGTCGGATATTTCCTTGATTAAATATTTTTCACAATTTCTCAAAAAGAGAGAGCATGACCAATTAGATCAGAAATTATATCTAAAAGAGTGCAATCTTGGGAAGAAGGAGAACGATAAAGAACAAAGAGAAAGGTGATAGAGTGAAGAGGTACTAAGTGGAAGCACATAAAGGAATGATCAAAGAATTTGAACCTGATTTTACAACAAATAGGTGAATTGATGCATATGTATACCCCTAAACCAAGCATGTCACTATCGGAGTCTTTGCGAATCAAAGGATAGTACTCATCAATATTTGCTGAGTTAAGCATAGTTTAAAATCACCTCTTTTAAAGCATGAGTTAATTATTAATGTTTATTATTAATTCAAATTCAATGCACAATATAACTTTATACTCTCTATATGCTAATTTCTTTTTAAAATATTTAAATAGATCTTCACTTTTTCATACAAATATTATGCAAAATAAATGTTCTTGTATGCCCCATTACATTTAGGAGAAATAAATATAATATGAAATTAAACTTTTTTGTTTGTGGTGTTAGTAACCTTAGTAATAACATGAGTTATAAAAAGATGTTAAGATTTTTTTAAACAAGCTTTCTAGATTGAAATATGATTTGTACAACAAGTGGTCCTAAGTGCATGAATTTATATTTTTGAATATTAATATTCAAAAATATAAAGTCAAAAATATAAATTCCATAATTTTTCCCAATTTGTTTTAGTGCCTATATTGCTTTGCCTATTCGCTTTTGCATAACAAGTTTTACTGCAAAAAAAAAGTTTTACTACATCATCTGCAAATACAACAGCTGAAATCAAATCAAAAAAATCATTGATATATTTAAGGAACAAAACTAAGGGCAAGAACTGAAATCTGGGGATCTCCACTATCACTAATAATAATATTCTGCTCTCTTGAGTAACACTCTATCCAATTGATAGGTGTTACTCAAGAGAAGCTTTTTTTGAAGTCTGACTTGATTTAAATATGTCTTTTTTTTTTTTATAGATCCTCATTAATACATGTCTAAAAGTACAACTTATTTTGATTGGTAAACTCTTTAAAATCAGTATTTTAGTTTTACAATAACTTTATGAGTTATGCCCAATACCTTACACGCTTAATATTTTAAAGACTGGTACTCAAATGAAGTTAAACGTTGGCAATAAAAACAAAATCACTAATTAAAATTTTCATAACAAAAAAAACAAACCTCTTTTACACTATAATCAATTTCTGCTTGTATATATGGGAAATTATTTACCAATCTTTGACCTAAGTTATTTTTAGTTGCAAGTTCAGCTATTTCATATGCTCTATTACCATATGCTCTTGAAAGATATTCTGCTACCTAAAAAATCATAAATTTTTAATACTGACGAAAGATCAACAAACTAGAGTGTAAATAAAATTTTTTTATTTAGACCTTATGCAATCTTTTTCGACAAAAAGATTGCATAAGTTCTAATCATGCAGTAAAGTAAAAGACCTAAGTACATAATAATTGATACTTAAATACCACATACACTATAGCTGTGCGTGTATATATATATATATATATATATATATATATATATATATATATATATATATATATATATATATATATATATATATATCATACATATACATATACATATAATATATATATATATATATATATATATATATATATATATATATATATATATATATATATATATATATATATATATATATATATATATATATATATATATATATATATATATATATATATATATGCTTTAGTTTAAAAACAATGAAACTCTAATTTTTATTTAAATTAAAAAAAAGTCAATAAGGAGTCATTTTTAAACTAACTAAAACACGCTTTATAATAAAATAAACAAATAAAGCAAAAAACAAACAAACAAAAAAAAAAAAGATAATAATGGTAGTGATCATAAAAAAAAAAAAAAAAAAATCAATAAAAAGACAAACATTATCTATTAAAAATGCAAGACTAATAACACACACGACAGTATAAACAAAACAAAGAAATACACAATATAAAAAAATACATGACATTATAAATTAATAAAACTTAAAAATAGTTCTTTTTGTTTTCTTTTAATAACTAAGTTTTTTATTTTCGAATTTATCATGAACATTTTTTAACTTTGCTTTTATTTGTCCTGTTATTTAAAAATTTTCATCAAATTTTAATTTTCATTGTTTTAACTTAATTAATTTTTTTTTAAACCTTCCAAGCAATTTTTATTTAATTCGATTTTTATTTCTATTATCAAAATTTAGAATGCATTATCAAAGATCATAAGAAGAAGTCAAACAAAAAGAAATTGCCACCAGCTGCCCCATTAACAAGGTAATTGTATGTTAAATAATCAAACAATTTAACAAAGACAATCCTTAAGAAATGGAATTTAAGGCAGACATGTTGTTTTGCTGACAGAAAAGTTATTTGTCACATCAAAAAAATTCTTTGACAGCTCGAATTATACCATTTAAAAAACTTATGTAATCTTTTTAAAATTAAAGTAGCTGTACAAAAATTATCCAGTCTCAAGCTATTTTCATTGAGGAGGAAAAATCTGACCCATTGCAGGTAAAATTTTGCCCACTTCTCGATGAGAATTGCTTGAGAATACAAAATTTAGGAGATTCAATGCCTAAAAGATGTCTTGAAGTCATTAAGGCAAAAGGAAGACCAATAGACTATTAACCTTATTTTACCAAAATAATTATTCAAGGGGTGATGCACTTTTTTGACTTCTACAATTTCTGATTAAATTTTTTTTTCAAGTATAAGAACATTTTTTCAAGAATAAGAATCTTGTTATAAAAACTCATCATTGGCAACTGATAAAAATTGTGTTCTCTTGTAAAATGTACTTTTTAACATGTTCTTGTAATACAAGTTGTGCTAGTTAGCAAAAAAAAACAAAAAAACAAATTTACAAAATAATTATTTACAAAATATTTTATAAAAGATTTTAAAGTCTTAAAAGATTCTTTGCATTTTAAAAGTGAAAACAAAAAACTTACATCACTATCTAAGCCATATTTTTGAATAAGCATTATATACTGTGTCAGGTGCCATCCTTCACCTCCTTCTAAAAATAACTTTTCCGTGACACATTTGCTTGCAATAAAATTGTTTGAGCTTATGACAGCATCCACTGCATCACGAGCCATAGCACGATAAGTTGTCCATTTACCTCCTAAAAGTTATTTATTATAACAATTCCAATACAAAGTACAATTAGGAATTCAGTACAATGAAATATAAGGTATTATAAAATATTAGATTGAGATAGACAGCATTAAGCATAAAACATAATAATATAACATTGAAATTATTATAAACATTCTAACCTGCAATAGTCACAAGCTTATTGTCACTGACATGGACAACATGATTTCTAGACAATGATTGAGTGTCAGGTGAAGAAGGATCTAACACTAAAGGACGAATTCCACTCCATGATGATAAAACATCTTCATGGCGAACTAAATAAAAAAGATTTTTTTTTGTCCTAGATTTTTTCTCTATTTAAACCTCAAGTAAAACTTTATAATTTGTGAAGGTTATAATATAACATATTTTTGCATGTAATTCTTTTGTATGTTATTCTTAAACAATGCTTTTAAAATATTTAACAGAATTATTTAATGACTCTATATTTTAGAATTGATGTGTTTAAGATTTTTATATTAAACAGACTAAATAAAGAAATTATCAAACTATTATGGTCAAACTAATAAAGCAAGATATTTTTTTCCCCCATTATATATAAAAAAATTAATTCAAATCATACAAAACAAACCTTTAAGGTCAGAAAAATATTTGGATACTTCTTTTATAATAAAGTCAATATCTTCTTGGGTTGGAACTGGGGTGTCTGTTATTTCACATTTTTGATCAGTAGTTCCAACAATAGTACGGCCTTGCCAAGGTAAGAAAAAAATAACACGCCCATCACTTGTTGATGGGTCAATTAGCCCCATTTTACGAGAACTGTATATGGTTAAAAGGATATTAAAAAATATATTATAAATATATAAAAACATGTTTATCAAAAGTAAAACTAAAACATTTAAACTACCATTACAGAGAAACAGTTTATACAGGTGAAGAAAATATTAATTTTAATCAAAATTTTATATTATTATTTTTTTAAAACTTTAATAAATCTATAATAAAAATCATTAACAATCATTATATTCACCATAATGACCTATACTTTTTCTAAAAAAGTTTATTGTTAATTTTTTTTTTACAAAAAACCTGATTTTTCGAAACTGATAGATTTTATTAAATCAAAATAAACTACTTAAATTTAAAAAATAAAATAAAGTAATATTTAAAAAAAAAAAGAAGCTTAAAGAAAAATGTTTAAAAAAAAAATTTCGAAGAAAAATGCTTAAAAAACTGAAACTGTGAGTCAGAAAAAAAGTGGGAAAAATTCCAGAGCGCTAAGGTTTAACTTAATTCCAGAGCACTGAGGTTTATATCAGCACTGAGGTTTATATCAGCACTGAGGAAAATACTATGACAAAACAATAAAGTTATATTTCTGTTTATGCTGTCTGATGAAAATAAATACTTTATATATTTTTTAATTTTTATTCTATTAACATCCCATAAGCCAAGGTGGCCATAACAGTCAACATTTCCTTGTTAAAAACAGTTACAATTAGCTTGATGAGGCCTAATTTGATGTGTTGTGGTAACAACAGCAATATATGAGGTTTACCAGGAGCTCTAATCAAGACAAATCTAGAACAAAATATTGTTTTTATACTTATGACTTAGACTTACTGACCCTGTATGACCATTATCATATGTTCATCTTTATAAACTTTTATAGTATTATCTTTAATAAATTTTTATACAAAAATCTTAAACTTTCAAAGTAAAATTTTATTAAATTGAGGAGCCTGAATATTAAATTGAATATCACTGCTATTATAGAGACATAAGTAACATAAGTAAAATTTCTTGAAATTAAAAAAAATTTTTGACTTGAAGGACCATTAATAACACCATTTTGAAATCTCTGATAATATTTGTCATACATAAACCCATTATTTATATATTGAGAAAAATATTTAGTGGCATTTTCTTTAATCTATGACTTGTATGCTGTTAACAACTTTCACTGCTTGCATATAAAAAACTAAACAAATTCCACTGCTTGCATATCAAAAACTAAACAACTTTCACTGCTCAAGCCTGCATGTTAAAAGCTAGGGATTCATATTGGTAAGAGAAGTGTCAGATCATTAAAATTTTCTAGCTAGAGAAATATTCTGCACAGTAGCCAGCAATTATTCATTTTGATTTTCCCTGATCAAAATAAAAACTTGACTGTGTATTGTAAACTTCATAAAAAAGTTTAACAAATGACAAAAAATTATGGTCATTTAATCAAGTGACTATAGCAACCAAATAACGTATTATTCTCAAATTTAACAACTTTACATTTAAATGTAACAGTAATTGTATTTTTAACAACTTTACATTTCTATAATTCAAAAACATGCACTAATCAATATGCATCAATCAACTTTCAATGAGGCATGACATCAGACAATGTAACTTATCATAAAGGAAAAGCGCTTAATGATTTGGTGAATGTAGTTATTAAAGAAATGGTTCTACTACACTAGTATTAGATAAACAAAAACTAATTTTAACATTGATCATTTTACATGATCTGCAATAGCCACTACCATTTCCACAATGTTTTTGATTTTTGAAGGTTGTCATTCTATTTCTGGTGCATTTTAATAAGTACAAAGAAAATAGTATAAATTTTTATATATAGTGTTTTTTACTACCTCTGCCAGTCTATTGAGAGTTTTAGCTTTACATAAGGTCAACTTAGCTTAATTTCTTCATTGATTATTACAATAACTTATTGCATTATGTAAGCAGTGATAAAGTTGTCACAAAACACCCACATTTTATTAACTCCATCAGTATATTATAGTAATTTTATTTAAATAGGTTAGAAAGAAATAGTTAGAAAATCAAACAATTTTCTTTTAATTTTTACTTTTTATTTATTGAACATAAAAAAGTTAGTCAATAATGTTAATGTTAAAGTTAGTCAATAATGCATTTGAGTCAAAAATCAATCAGAATCAATGATTATTAATCATTGATTCTGATTGATTTTTGATAGGGATAAAAAAAAAAACAACCAAAAATAAGTTTATTTTTGGCTGTTTTTTTTTTAGTTATGCGCCATTGTAAAGAACCTGAAGCTTTTTAAAATGATTTTTATGCTATTAAAACTTCCAACAGGTTTTGCTACAAGTCAAGATGCTCTACCTGATATTTAAAAGATAAATTGAATTAGAAAGTTTGAAAGATATTGATGCAATAACAATTTTATTTGTAATAAATACTATTACAATAAAGAGATGCTTAGCAGATTTTGCAATCAATTTGATATATGATTTCCAAGAAAGATCGAAAGTAAGAGTTAATCCTAGAAGATGAATGGTAGATGACTCATCAAATACATTACTGTTTATAAATATAGGAAGATCTAAATTATTAGGATAACGATTTGCTGAAAAAAATTTGATTTTGTCTGAGTTAAGAAAAATCTACGACAGATGAAGAACATGTTACATACATCTACGACAGGTAAAGAACAGGTTTATTGTTTTGAAAAAATCATCATACCAAATATACTTAGCTGGAAAATATTAGTATAGTCCTTCTGAACTCAAAAAAAAGTTTCCAACGAAACTCAAATAGATGCTTCCAAGTTCTTCATGCTTCCAACATGAATATGATTTTATTCATTCATGAGGATATATACATTAATATTTTTTTTAATTTATTGAAATAAAGAAAATTTTGTTTCAATGTAAAACTAAAATTGTGTTTGTCAAAAATATCACCACCTTTTGAGCAACTTGCTCAACCAGAAGCCAGCATCTTTAATGGTCAGCCAGTATAAGCTAGTTGAACAAGTTGCTTAGATTGCAGCCATCTGCGATAACAGTCAGCCAGCAAGTGAAATGTTATAAGCATGGCTTAATAACTCTAGTTAATATTACTTAGTACCAATTAGTATTTTCTGCCCTAAAAATGTCTGTAAAAAAAACTTATAACTCACACTGAATCTTTTAAAACTTAAACTAATTTAGGCAATAATGTATCAACAATCACTGCACTGAATGAAAACCACTGTTTGCTTCTGTTTATTTTCAATTGCATTCCCCAAAAAAGCAAATAAGATGCACCCAGCTTAATTTTTGTACATCCCAAAAGCACATAGTTACATTGTCGTTTTGATTTGCTTTATAACTTTATTAATGTCTTGTCAAACTTTATAAATAAAAAACTACATTTCAAAATTTTTTTTTCAGGATAGCAACAAGAAAATAATGAGCAAAACAGAGTTATGTTATTGGGAAACTTTGTCCAATCCAAGTTTAAAATGCTTACTTTTGTCACTGCAATGAAATATTTCTTAAAATATTCCAATAATTGTATAATACCTGAATGTTTTATGTAGGAAATGTTTCATTGTTTTCTGATTGCTTGCCAGACTAGTACCACTAAATCACATAACTTTTTTTCTGATTATTGATTGATTCAAATTGTTTTTAATAACATTTTGGTTTTGATATCTACTGAATAAAGAAGATTCTGGCATCTGATTCTTATACAATCTAACATTTTTGGCACATTTATGACTTTTTTAATGTCTTTTACTGTCTGCCTGTTTCCACTATTTAAAAATGTTAGAACAAATCATGTGACTTGTTATTAAGTAAGGGTTCAATTAAAAGATTTATTTTTGAAAAATTCTTAATTACAATTCACTTTAAACACAGGTCTGCAGTTAAGTAAGCTTTGCCAACCCTAATTGCAATTCACTTTAAACACAGGTCTGCAGTTAAGTAAGCTTTGCCAACCCTAATTTAGCTGTATAGCGCATGACTGAATTTATCCATAGTAATTAAAAACATTTCATGACTTTACTATAACTTTTTATGGAAAGAACTTATTCTTCTATATACTTCTGACTTTTTAACACAGTTTAAAATTACTGTTTCATTTAAATCTACACATCAATTTCTATTACATTTAAATCTATACATCAATTTTTTATGACATTTAAATCTATACATCAATTTCTATTATATTTAATTCTATACATCAATTTCTATTACATTTAAATCTATACATCAATTTCTATTATATTTAAATCTATACATCAGTTTCTGTTACATTTAAATCTATACATTAACTTCTATTACATTTAAATCTATGCATCAGCTTCTGTTACATTTAAATCTATACATCAATTTCTATTATATTTAAATCTGCACATCAGTTTCTGTCACATTTAAAATTGCACATTCGATGTTTATAATACTGTATGACTTTTAAAATAACTTTAGTAGAATTTTATGATCATTTTATGAACATAATATGCAAAAGCACAGTAAGTAAGTGGTTAATATGTAACAAATTCGGATTCGACACTACATTTTAAAGCAACAAAAACGAAAAAAACCATTGAGTTGAATCTTCAGGTTGGTTTCATTTAAATCAGGTGTTGATGGAAAAAAATACATTACCATAGATAAAATGAATTGGTTACACTGTTCAACAGAGAAATTGTATGAAAAAAAAGTAACTGAAATATACTAATTTAAGGCTAAACACAAATCTGATATTGAAAAATTTTGTTTAGCTCTGGTTTCAAAGATACCTTTAGAAGTATTGTCAATTCAACTCATGGTTTATAACATAATTACAATACAAAAACATAAAAAGCAAAGGAATTATAACTGAATCTGAAACTAAACTTTTTTTTAAAACTGCTTTTGTTTTGATTGTTGTGACATTTTTGTAATCTTTTTGTATATAGCACCATAGTACTTACTTTAGTATTTATGTTTAATCTGTTGTAAATATTTACATGCAAATCTAACATAAATACTAAAAAATTAGTGTACTAATATCATTCATAAATTTTACATTATTACAGCTGTTGCTATATGATGTTTCTTTGTAAAATAGTTTATCAAACTTAAAAACAAAAAAATTCACACAAAACTTAAAAAAAAAAAAACACAATAAAAAAGGAAAATCACCAATAATAATCTGGCAACACAATATGAACTCCTGAAGCTGGTTGACAAATACTCTTACTACTTTTGTCACCCATTTTTCTAATAGCATCAGTAAATGGACCAGTTGCATTTACAACACATTTTGCTTTTATATACCACTCTTCGCCCGTAAACTTGTCTTGAACATGTGCACCACAAACTTCATTGTCCTTCATATAATTAAAAATGGAAAAAACCATTGTAAAGAAAAATATATAAATGATACATCAACAACATTTAGCAAATCAAAATTAATGTGTTTGCATTTATTTTTACAGAGGTCAACACTGTCCTTATATATTTTGCAGTTTAAAATAATAATAAAAACATTTTTTTATTGTAAGTCTTTCATATCTCATAACACTATCCAAGCAAGTTAAAAGAGTTTCTTTTTTAATGCTTTTACAATAATTTAAATAAAATCCTCCACATAAATAATTTTAACATTTTACCCTTATATACTTACCAAAACCTTAAATTGATGTATGTACTGAAGCCACCACAAATGGTTATTTTAGTATGACTTTACAAATGGATATTTTAATATTTTTGCATTTTGGTTTTAATATATATTAATATTTTTGCATTTTAAAATTTTAATATTAAAGATATTTTATTATTTTATATTTTAGTAGAATATAAAATAATTCAAAATATCTCTGAATGCACTGAAAAAAATCAATTACTCAACATACAACTATATTTTTCATTTACTATTTTTTAATTATTGCAAACGTAAATATTCTACCAAATTTACTTTTTTCAATTTATATTCGAAACTATATTTGTACCAAAAAATATACAGATTCTTAAGAAATAATTTTTTTAATTTAAGATAAGAAATGTTTTTACAGATTAAGATTAAAATTTTCAGTTTTCAATTCCATCATATACTTTCAATTCCATCATATACTTTCAATTCCATCATATACTTTAAATTCCATCATATACTTTCAATTCCATCATATACTTTAAATTCCATTATATACTTTCAATTCCATCATATATATAAAAACACTATACACTTTTGCTACTTTTTAAAGTTGTGAAAATAAAATAGTTTTATAATAAAATTAACTTTTAAATACTTTGGTACCCGGTGTGCAAACTACTATTTATCAGACGATATTAGTATCCATTTCAAAATTATTAATTAAATTTCATCCGTTTAAGTTTAACATTATTAATTTAATAGCTGTGCTAATTTTTGCATTTTATTTTTATCTTATTTAACTATATGTTACACAATAACTAAACACTATCATAAAAACACTATCATAAAAACACTATCATAAAAACACTATTGTAAAAACACTTTCATAAAAACACTATCATAAAAACACTATCATAAAAACACTATCATAAAAACACTATTGTAAAAACACTTTCATAATAACACTATCATAAAAACACTATCATAAAAACACTATCGTAAAAACACTATCATAAAAACACTATCATAAAAACACTATCATAAACAACACTATCATAAACAACACTATCATAAACAACACTACCATAAACAACACTATCATAAACAACAATATCATAAACAACACTATCATAAACAACACTATCATAAACAACACTATCATAAACAACACTATCATAAACAACACTATCATAAAACAACATAAACTATCATAAAAACAACAGTATCATAAACAACACTATCATAAAAACACTCTAGAGCTGTTACAAATATTTTCTTTTACACTAAAAAATAAGGGTGAACAAAAACCCATTAAATTATTAAATTGAATTATTAAAACTAAAAACAGAGGTGTTTAAAAATATGAAATCTAACAGATAAAACTTACAATTTAAAAAGAAAAAACAAAAACAAAAAAAAATATTATAAAATTTTTAAAAAATTAATTTTTATTTTTGTTCTTTTTATTAACTAATTGAATAATTAGTAACACTTAAACTTTCATAGTTGTAGTTTCCCGCTTATAAAAAAATTAGCAGTATTTTTATTGTTTTACTTTAAAATTAATGCACATATTTCTATACCATTAGTAAGAAATGCTTGTTTTTAAAAGTAAGTGTTAGTTAAGTCTTCTCAATAAGTTTTTATTTCAATTAAAACTTTGATATAATATTTATTTTAATTATTTTTTAATTATAGGATTACTGGATTAATTGTTGCTTAAACAAACAAATAACTATAAATTATGAGTTATGAGTAAGCTTACATTATTTATTACTTTTATAATTGTCAACTTATCAAGTTGCTTTGTTTTTCAATAAATAAAATCAAGTTAAGCCACCCTTTCCAATAACTACAGTGTTCACAGTTTTCCATATACTGAAACTTTGAGGACCAGAAATTTTTACAAATATTGCAATTGGCAATCACTTAATTCAACCCTTGGCAGATGCAATTCGCTCTGTTCCAACCTGATTTGCCTAGACCAAATTATGCAATACTTGGTAACTTTTTAGCATCTTGTTATGAAAATATAGGAATGATTGGTACTTCAACTGACAAACAATCTGTAAACCTTCTTTCTGTTGATGGAAATCAAGGATTTAAAGTAATTTCAGGTTTAAAAGATTCAAAATTTATGGACCACAAGCAAGAAGAAATTATTGAGAATTCTCTTCTATAGTTTAACTTTAGCAACATAAGCAGATTTGTATGTATGTATTTTTCAGAAGTGTCTAACAATGAGGCGCGTGTTTCTTTGGGATGACAGGAAGAATTTGGTTATTAGATTCATGAAATGAAGAAATAGTATGGAGAGGTAATAAAACCAGATTTATGTATAAGAGATTAGAGTTGTCTTTATTCATAAGATTGTTAAAGGATTTTCCAAAAGTCTCTAGAACTTAATTTTTAAAATAAAATACAAGAGTTAGAAATCTGAAAATAATGAACCAAGCATTAGAAAGTGAAACTTAAAAATTAACAAGTAGCAATATGTCTGAATTTAACAGATTATAAAAGAGATACAATTTTCAGCAAAAAAAAAAAAAAAAAAAAAACATCAGCCCAAAGACCACCACAAAAAAGCTTTGAAGTGTAATAATAAAAGTTTGTGCCCAAAACTGTAATTTTGTAAATATAATTTTTACAATTGGTTTACTGCTTTTGTTGCTGTAATAGTCATTTTTGTTGCTTGATTATCAGGCTTGGTCGGGAAGCGGGTGCAATCGCACTCGATAACTGACCACGGAAATAATATTTAGTTGAAAAAGATTTGTGTAAAATAATTTGATTTGCGGCCAGATTTTTAAGTCGTTTTGAGAACATTTAAGTTTTTGTATGTTTCCTTGTTTGTCCGCAAAATAATAAGTTCATTTTATCGTAAATTTTAAAATATATAGTTTTACGGACTTACATGGAAACATACATAAACTTGAATGTTCTCTTAGTGCGGAAAAATAAAAAAAGAATATTTGCGAACACAAAAAACCCGCAAATCTACGAACAACTAATTCTATTGGTTCAAAAATTACTAACCAAAATTTATAGAGTATTCAAAAAATACTAACTAAATGTCCTGATTATTCTGTTGAAATATTTTAAAAAATTGAATTATTTGAGTTTTGTTACGTTTTTGTTGAGATTTCTAGCATAAATTATTTTAAGAATATATATAAAATATATCAAACGAACTATAATTTTAATTCTTGAAGCCATATCTACAAAGTCATAAATGTTTTATACTAACATTAATCGTTTACAATAATAAATGTTTTAAATTTATATTTTTTAACTTGTCAACGTTTTGTAAATATATTATAGATTTTATTAGTATATTCTAATTTTTTATATATAAGAGATGTATTTTTTATGTATGTAATGTATTTTTATGTAAGCAATGTATTTTTATGTATGTAATTTTATGTATGTGTATTTTAGTCAAATGTAATCTTTTAAAGCAATATATGCGATTGATTTTGAAACAAAAATACTTTCAATAATAACGGCGTTTTTTATGAAATTATTAATAATCATCGAAGTTAATACAAATAATTTTAACCACTAATCCATTTTCCTCAGTGTACCCGATAACTCATTCTTTCTCCCAAGAAAGAAAAGTTTTTAAGTTCTTAGAAATTGGTTTACTAACTTCAATTATTTTTGCTTCAGCCATTCTTACAAACTTGTTATACTTAGAGTTACTTTTTTTCTGTTTTAAACACTAATTAAAATTATAAAGCCCACTTACTAAAACATCATCAGCAGTATTGTGAAGCAGTTCCGCTTCCTCCTCACAAAGTAATGTAATGTTTTTTTAAATTTCTATCTAGCTAATTGAATTTCTACAGTAACTCGATGATTTAATTATTTTATTCGTTCATCTTAGTAAGAAGAATTATTTCAAACATGTTAAACTTTTTAAACTACGCGAAGCATAATACAGTTATTGAAAAAACTTTTTCATAAATAAATCATTTGGTTAAATCTTGTTGGACTTTTCAGGGCCGGAGGCTGCATTATTTTGGCGGCCTTTTTAATGTGCCACAGCGTAAAAATGACTAAAAAAAATACCGAATGGTCCTTTTGACTATTTCCCCTAACATTGTGAATCTCGGGGCTAGAGCCCTACTACCCCCACCCCACCTCCTCAATCCAGCACTGGAAATAAGACATAAGTATATAAATAAAAATTATATATACTCTCTGATAAATCGAAGAACATTTGTTTTTTTATAGTTGTTACTTTATATAAAAAATGTAGCTTAATTTTATAAAAAAAATTATAAAAGAGTGACGTTTCAAAAATAATTGCTCTAATACATTTATTTTGCTTAAAGTTTTTTCGCATTAAAAGCTATTTTTCTTTTTTTAACTGTCTCTCATTGGTCCAGTTAATCTTATTGCGTTTTTTTGTTTGTTTTTGAAATGTTCTCAAAATGACTAAAAAATCTGGCCAGTTTTTCGCAACTAAATAATATTTCCGTGGTCAATTATTGAGTGCGATTGCACCCGCTTCCCGACCAAACCTGTAAATTATAATAAGCAATATTGTAAATGCAATAAATTATAATAATATATAAGTAATAATAAAAATTTATAACAAAAAATATTTAATATTGGCCAATATTAAATATTTTTGGTTATCAATTTTTATTATTGAAAATTAATAAAATATTGTCTTGATAAATTTTTAAGAATTAAAATTTTAACAGTTTTCTTGTTTAAATGATAATATAGTACCAGGTTGCATTATTCTTATAAGTTAAACAGGTTATAGCCTAGGAGACGACAATGATCATGAAACGCTTTAAGAGCTTTATAGAGTGCTCCAAAACCATAATATAACAAAATAAAACCAAGGCTATTTAAATACAGGCACAAAAAATATGTATATATATATTTATAAAACACTGCATTATATTCTCACTATCAGATAGTGGGCATTGACTTTTATTATTTTGTTGATACTTATTTGATTGTTCAATATTGGTTGTTGTTCAGCTATGGTTCAATTTTTTCTTCTGCCATCTCTATTAATGACCGTGACCAGAAGCTGCCAATTCTTTTTTTAATACTTTGTCAGTAGCGATTTTAAATTGAATACAACTTATTTCATGTACTATTATTGTAAAATAATTAGCTATTACTAAAATATTTGTTTAATAAATGTAGAATACAAAAATTGTGTTTTACCTATAATTCTTTCCATTTACCTATATGCTTTATATATACGCTTTTAGCCATACATTGAGTATAACGCATATGCTTTTAGCCATTAGATGTTTTGAGATTTAATTTTTTTATGTTTTTGAGATGGAGGAGATGATTACAAACAACAATGGCTTATTAACTAACAAAGATTTGTTAGTTAATAAGCCATTGTTGTTTGTAATCATCTCCTCCATCCAAGTTCATCTAAAAAAAACAAATTTAATATAATTGGTTTTAATAAAAAGTTTAATGGTTGCTCACATGTGTATGTTTAGACAGGTTTCCATAATATGATATTCTTATTGAAATATAGCATTATTGGAAAGTAAAAGCAATTGGTTACAAATAGATGCAACTCCATAGGTCAATCTGCAGATCAGGACTGATGTTTTTAATAAAAGTTTAACAAAGAAATAAAGTTAAAGTCTCCAAGGATAAATATAGTTTTGCTTTCTTTAGACAGTTTTATTAGTTATGGATTCAATGCGTTTAAGTCATCCACCGACATGGTTGGATGCCTGTATACACAGCCAATGATCATATTAGATCTTTTTGTGTTTACTATTTCAATAAAAATAGATTCTAGTTCTTTTGTTTTATATATAATCAGATAATTTCTTGGTTTATATGCAAATTTTTTATTGATATACAATAGAGCCTCTCCAGCATGAGTTGGCATTTGTTCATACTAAAACCCATTAAGAGAGATGTTGGTAAAAGGGGGTTGATTTTTTAATAGATTCGAATATTCCAATTGTTTCAGATTATGTCTAGATTCGAATATTCCAATTATTTCAAATTCAATTTTTGTAGATAATAGTAAATTTCCAAAAAGATCAAAGTTTTTTGTGAGAGAAGTAATGTTGAGATGAAGGATCTTATATGACGATTTGTTACTTGTAATATAATTAAGATTATCAATATATCTTTAAATCTGTTGACATTTGATCGGTAAAATTATCATTGGAATTTTGATAAACACATAAAATAGAAAATATATTTTTAATATATATTAGCACTAACCTACATTTTGGTTTTAAAAATAAGCAGTATTAAAAAGTTGTAAAATTGCAATGAAAATGTAATGTTATTACTTTTTGAAAGATATCAATTACTTGGTGTAGTTAAGGCAATTTTTAAATATTATAGCGTCTGTATGATATTTTATTGACTAAAATATATTTCCATTAAATGTCTTTTTGTATTTCACAGACCTGATGATCTGTGAGTTATGAAAAGACGAAAAAAGCTGTTATGATAAATTTAAAGTATCATATAAATGTTTGTAGCAAGAAAACCCACATCTAAGATTCTTTTGTAAAAAAAATTTTAAAATCACAATCACTTGTCCAAATTAAAATAAGATTTTAAATAAATATGTTTTTTCGGTGAATCAACATAATAGTTCAATAATATGATCTGTTTTGATTGTTTATTTTCTTAATTATAAGCTTTTTCTTGGTCAGAATTCTAGTATTTTTTGTGAAAATTGATAGAAATATTGTATTTTGACAGTTTACTATTTAAAATAATTTACTGATTCTTCTGTTATATTTGACATTTGATAAATGATTTTTAATAATTCTTTATGTATATATATATATATAAAGTTTGTTATCAACTTTATGGCTTTTGTTTTATTTATTTTTACAATTACACTATATTTTATACCACTTTTAACAAATATATTATATATATATAACTGATGATGACAATATATACTAGAAATGACAATATATACTAGATGTCTTAAATTTAAATAATATAATATTTTTATATAAAATTAAAAAATTTGTCTTATTTTTAAAAGTATTTTTAATAGTTTTGGAAATATATATATATATATATATATATGTGTGTGTGTGTGTATATATATATATATATATATATATATATATATATATATATATATATATATATATATATATATATATATATATATATATATATATATGTATATATATATATATATATATATATATATATATATATATATATATATATATATATATATATATATATATATATATATATATACATATATATATATATCAGGCTTGGTGGGGAAGCGGGTGCGATTGCACTCAATAATTGACCATGGAAATATTATTTAGTTGCGAAAAACTGGCCAGATTTTTTAGTCATTTTGAGAACATTTCAAACACAAACAAAAAAACGCAATAAGATTAACTGGACCAATGAGAGACAGTTAAAAAAAGAAAAATAGCTTTTAATGCGAAAAAACTTTAAGCAAAATAAATGTATTAGAGCAATTATTTTTGAAACGTCACTCTTTTATAATTTTTTTTATAAAATTAAGCTACATTTTTTATATAAAGTAACAACTATAAAAAAACAAATGTTCTTCGATTTATCAGAGAGTATATATAATTTTTATTTATATACTTATGTCTTATTTCCAGTGCTGGATTGAGGAGGTGGGGTGGGGGTAGTAGGGCTCTAGCCCCGAGATTCACAATGTTAGGGGAAATAGTCAAAAGGACCATTCGGTATTTTTTTTAGTCATTTTTACGCTGTGGCACATTAAAAAGGCCGCCAAAATAATGCAGCCTCCGGCCCTGAAAAGTCCAACAAGATTTAACCAAATGATTTATTTATGAAAAAGTTTTTTCAATAACTGTATTATGCTTCGCGTAGTTTAAAAAGTTTAACATGTTTGAAATAATTCTTCTTACTAAGATGAACGAATAAAATAATTAAATCATCGAGTTACTGTAGAAATTCAATTAGCTAGATAGAAATTTAAAAAAACATTACATTACTTTGTGAGGAGGAAGCGGAACTGCTTCACAATACTGCTGATGATGTTTTAGTAAGTGGGCTTTATAATTTTAATTAGTGTTTAAAACAGAAAAAAAGTAACTCTAAGTATAACAAGTTTGTAAGAATGGCTGAAGCAAAAATAATTGAAGTTAGTAAACCAATTTCTAAGAACTTAAAAACTTTTCTTTCTTGGGAGAAAGAATGAGTTATCGGGTACACTGAGGAAAATGGATTAGTGGTTAAAATTATTTGTATTAACTTCGATGATTATTAATAATTTCATAAAAAACGCCGTTATTATTGAAAGTATTTTTGTTTCAAAATCAATCGCATATATTGCTTTAAAAGATTACATTTGACTAAAATACACATACATAAAATTACATACATAAAAATACATTGCTTACATAAAAATACATTACATACATAAAAAATACATCTCTTATATATAAAAAATTAGAATATACTAATAAAATCTATAATATATTTACAAAACGTTGACAAGTTAAAAAATATAAATTTAAAACATTTATTATTGTAAACGATTAATGTTAGTATAAAACATTTATGACTTTGTAGATATGGCTTCAAGAATTAAAATTATAGTTCGTTTGATATATTTTATATATATTCTTAAAATAATTTATGCTAGAAATCTCAACAAAAACGTAACAAAACTCAAATAATTCAATTTTTTAAAATATTTCAACAGAATAATCAGGACATTTAGTTAGTATTTTTTGAATACTCTATAAATTTTGGTTAGTAATTTTTGAACCAATAGAATTAGTTGTTCGTAGATTTGCGGGTTTTTTGTGTTCGCAAATATTCTTTTTTTATTTTTCCGCACTAAGAGAACATTCAAGTTTATGTATGTTTCCATGTAAGTCCGTAAAACTATATATTTTAAAATTTACGATAAAATGAACTTATTATTTTGCGGACAAACAAGGAAACATACAAAAACTTAAATGTTCTCAAAACGACTAAAATCTCTGGCCGGTTTTTCGCAACTAAATATTATTTCCGTGGTCAGTTTACGAGTGCGATCGTACCCACTTGACGACCAAGCCTGAATTTACAATATTGGCAACTATATTACACCAATATTGGCCAGTATTACATCCCCAATATTGGCATGATATTATTTACAATAATGGCACAATACTGTAAACATTATCGCACCAATATTGCAATGTAAATATTTTGCTAATATTGGTCAATATTGGCAGTACAATATTGGCGCAATACTGTACCTCCAATAGTGGCCAATATTGACTTGACATTATAGGCGCAATATTGTACTGCCAATATTGGCAAAATGTTTACATGGCAATATTGACGCAATATAGTTTATAATATTGCGCCAATACTGTAGACACTTGGGCTTATTAGCAAGAAGTTTAATGACTTTAACATAATTACCTGATTAAATAAGTTTAATGACTTCAACATAATTACCTGATTAAAGAAGTTTAATGACCTCAACATAATTACCTGATTAGTAAGAAGATCTATGACTTCAACATGATTTAAACAAGTTGCACCACTACGTATTGCAGTTAAAGCCAATAACAAATTCATACGAGCATCATCTTGTTGCCCTATCAATATTAAAAACAAGTAAAACAATAAGATCATACTTTAGTAGTCGACTTACACAACTAGTGAACAGTACTATACTGGTTATGTAAGTTCAAAAGACAATAACAATGAACCAGTAACCAATGACTACTAAACCTAACAACAATTATAAAGGCTTTTAAAAAATTTTCATTTTAACTTGAAAATTTTATCTCTTATTAAAATACTAGCTGTCTAAACCCGTAAAATACGGGTCTTGATAAGTCTATACACAGCCATTTCTATACTTATTACTTACTTCAATATTTTTTAGTAAGCAGTAGAAAAACTATACATGTTGTTTACCTTTTAAATTTATAAAAAAAAAAATTTATAACATAACTAACTTTAAAAATTTTTTAAACGCTTTGGTAGTTGTTGCTTAAACGGCTATTTATCAGCAGTTTGGATATTAGTACCTGAAATAATATTTAGAATACCCGTTTAAAATATGTTGAATAAATACAATCAGCATAAAAAGTTAAAAAACATTTGGAATCAGACTTAATTGTGTGGAATAGATTCATCATGGCCCATAAATAAATGGTCATGGTAAGTTCATTATTTCACATATTTTTAAATATGTGAAATAATGAACCATTTATTTATTTATTTATTTAATTACCTCAATATTTTTGAATATGTGAAATAATAAACTTACCATGACCATTTATTTATGGGCCATGATGAATCTATTCCACACAGACCATTTCTATAATTATCCTTTATATATGGGATTATTTCAATAATTTTTAGTAAGTAGAAAATCTATCAAATCTTTGTTTTGAGTTATTGGTTAGTGTTCAATACTTTATAACTTCCTATTGTAAAATTGTAAACTTGGATAAAAAAAAACAACAGGTAAAGTTCTATTTGCACAATCATTAAAGATTGCATCTCAGTAGTCCCCTTAGAAAATAATTCCAAACCTTGGAATTACCTCAAATGAATATCTAAATGCTTTAATTTTTATTAAATCTGTTTATGATTTTCTAAACAATTAAATTTTTTTTTAGATGTCTCCTAAAATAAGCAGCTGCTATAAAATGGCATTAAAATTCTGCTATATTGAGAAGGATATTAGTAATGCATTTCAAGAAATTAAGAGGTAAGTTTGGTATTTTTAATATCCAACTAATTGATTAATTTTAAAATCAGTTTTTACTGTATGCAAACAGATCCTATTTAGAAGCTAAATTCTAGGTCTCAATTATTATCTGATAATTATTGTACTAAACTTATAGATCTGCTTGGAGCAGGCGCAACTATAAAGTTGTAAGTTATTTTTACTTATTAAACTTTCAAATATTATTCAAGCTTTTTTTTTAAAAAAGTCAACAGCCATACAAACATTTAGTCCATTTATATTTGTAAACAATATTTATCTTTTACAAATTTTCTTTTGGATACGATTACTCAATCATTGAATGTTTTTATTTAGAATCATTGCAAATCTAAAAAAAAAATGGTTTAATTATTTATAAAGAAGAAATGACTAATGAAATAATCAATGAGCAAAGAAGAAATGCAGACAATCAACAAGCCCTGTAGAGGTAAAAAGCCATGTAGAAGAATTTTCCATGTAGAAAACTTTCTTACCCCTTTCTGTCTTAACTCCATCAACATCATTTTTCTAAACGAACAGATTCTAAAACTTGCCAAATCTTCAAAACTCACTGTTTCTAAAGCTCGGAAAGTTGCTCAAGAATTCCATGTAACATTTGTCTTGACAGATGTTGCATGAAAGTTGTTTTTAAAGGTGTTGACCTTAAATAGTTTCATGTCAAGGAATACTTTTTTTTTCAACTTCCAGTAACAACCACTATTATAGTTGGAAGTTACTGGAAAAAAAAAGGTGAAGTTTATAGAGCAAGATAATGATTGACAGACGACTTTAAAAATTACAAACTATATGAATCAGAAAAACAAGATAAAGAAAGCAAATTCTAAAGAACTGATGTTTGAGAAAAAAATAACAAGACGAATAAGAATTTTTGGAGCACTAAGGAACAGCCACAGTAAAAAGATAAGACTTAATTGTATGGCGAGTAACACAAGAATGAATTTTAGTAGATGGCAAGAGATGCTAGTTCTTTAGTGCAGTGACCATTATAGTGTTTATAGAAAATAGAAAGAGAATCAAAATTACAACAATGAGATAAGGTTGGAGGAGGTTGGCTGCAATAGTAGGTCCAACTATATTTACAACACATTTTTGTAGCTTTTTCTAGAAGTGAAAGGACATCATTTAAAGATCCACCCTAGGTATGGAAACAGTATTCCATACAAGGATGGATTTGAGATTTTTAGAGATAAAGAATAGAACCCTGAGTAAGAAAGTAGCGAGCGCGATAAAAAGATGCAACCTTAGCAGATGCTAATTTTGCAATCAATTTGATATATGGCTTCCAAGAAAGATCGGAAGTAAGGTTAATTCTAGAAGATGAAGGGTAGATGACTCATTGAGTACATTACAATTCATAAATATAGGAAGATCTAGATTATTACGATAATGATTAACTGGTAAAAAATTGAGTTTTATCTGAGTTAAAAATCACCAGCCACTGAGAGCCTCATGCTGTAAGAAGTGAGATCCTTTTCAAACTTAAATGCCCCCTCCAACCAATCAGAGAGTGTTGGCTTTTTATCAAGACAAGGATAACTGGTAGTATCATCAGCGAACGATGATAATGCCAATAATAAACTAATGCCACCTTGGATGTGAGAACTTCTGGAAGATCGTTAGTGTAAATTATAGAGTATAGAGCCAAGGATAGAAACATAGAAACTTGAAGAAAAATTTTTATACTACAATTGGTAAGAAAGGATAATCTTAAAAATATTACCTGATACACCATAAGAAAGTTTATGGAGAAAACCAGCATGCCAAACTTTATCAAAGGCTTTAGAAATGTGAGTGCGACAGCCTTAACCTTTTCACATCTATCTAATCCACGATAAAACCTATCTGTTATTATGGTTAACAAATCAGCAGTAGAACAAGAAGATCGAAATTCATATTGATGATCATAAAGTAAGTTATTAGATTCAAGATGAGAGATTAAGTACTAAAGACTCTTCTTAAAAATTTATCAAGACAATATATTATTAAATTTCAATAATAAAATTATTGAAAATTAATGTTAACTAAAGACTCAAAAAACTTGCTTATGAAAGGAAGAAGACTAATGGAATGTTAGTTAAACAAGTCAGATTGCTCCCCAGAATTTTTTAAAACAGGGATAACAGATGCCGCTCTGCAACAGGCTGGAAAATAAGACTCTGATAAGCATGTGTTAAATATTTTTGAAAGTATAGACAACAGCTCTAGAGAACACTTTTGCAAGACTATAAAAGGTATGTTGTCCCAACCACAAACTGTACAAGAATCTAAACAAGAAACTACTTTAAATACAGAACTTAATTGATTTTTTTCTTTTTGTTTATCAATCACATGATTAATTTTTGTTTATAAACAACATAATTGATTTTTGATTTTTGTTTATGATTAAATTTTGTAGCTAATATAAATAGATAAAAAACTAATTATAAGCATATGCTAATGCAAAAATATAAAATTAAAATATAAAAATGTTAATAAAATACTGAGTTAACACAATTTATTAAACAATTTTTTTTTAGATAGTGTAAAAAAATATTTACCATCAAAATATACAATTCCACCACATAAATTTTCTTTTTTTAACATAGGGAATTGTTCAAGAACTTTTTCCTTGCTGATATAATAACTTTTTTTCATTAACTCTCTACCAGCTACAAGATCGTACATTTTGATACCAATCCAAAAGTATGGAACTTGCCACCACCTGTTATGATTGAAAGATAAAAATAAAGCTATTTAAAGTGTTCTGTAATTATAAAACATTATTTAAAGAAAACTTAAGATTCAATTAAAAGTATGTAAGATTCATACTAAGAATAATTAGTACTCAATATTTTATTTACATTTTTACTTTATTGCAAATATTTACTCTCTGTCATACTAAGAAAAGTTAGTGCTTAAATATTAAGAATAATTAGTGCTCTATCAAATAATTATAATAAGAAAAAGCCCTCTATCAATTATTTACTCCTCATTTGAAGTTTATTATTTTGATATTAACAAGTTTGTGTCGATCAAAGAACTTGGAAGTTTCTAACACCAAGGGGCAAATTAACTCAAATTTACCTGATCACAACTATTACACACTTATTATCAAATTTACTGCAACAAAAGTAGTTCACTAAGACTCTCATAATTAATATATATTTTGAAACTTGTATAAAATAGATGCTTAATTCATCCCTTGAATGTATTAAACTGGCATTTAAAAAGCATTAAAATTAGACACCTAAAAACATGTAAAAAATTTCTGTTAAATGTATTACCATCTCATACATAAGCAATACATACCCAAATAAAAAAAAAAGGAATAAAGGCAAAAAAAAAAATTTTTAATTTAAAAATCCAGATTAAAGCCAAATTTAAAATCTAAATAAAAAATTAATTTTATTAATCAAAAATTAATACTGATTTACCAATTTTACTGAAATACCAATTTTAGTTCCCAGAAAACAAATTATTTTTCAATGTCAAATTAGTTTTCAATGACACATTTAAACATTTCTTACAGATTGGTGTAATTACTTTCTATATGTATATTGATGCTATTATTGTATATTTGTCATTATTGGTTTTGTTAATACACATTATATACTTATAAATCCATTAATAAACTACACCTACTTGTAAATTGGAAGAAGTATAGGAAGTGTTTCTGATGCATTTGGAGCATTTTTAAGGATTACTGCACGCTCATGTAATGCTTCTTTGACCAAGTGGTACTAAAAACAAAAAAAATAAAATTATTATAAAAATAAAAGAATTGAATCACTTAATACTCTATCTAAAGATATACCTGAGCTTTTTATTAGATTTTGTCAAATTTTTATTTTATAAACATTGTCTAAAATAAGTAAAAGTAATGATTTAAGAAAATGTTTAAAAATCTTGTAAAAGTTTTTTATGTTGTTTAAATTTAGATTTATAAAGTTGAATATTTTTTATATTAATAAGAAACCAAGTTATTTCTCAGCGCAGTAGCCATGCTCGTCAAGGCTACAAGCTTGTAATCACAATTAAAGTTCCTCAACTATAGTAGTCTTCTCAGCCTTGGAGAAGTAAATTAACATAAAAAAAAAGAATAGGTTGGAATAAATTTGAAATTTACAGTATTTATAAAAAATTTTAACAATAAACTTTTAACAATAGTTATTTAATATTTATTTAAATATTTTTTTAAAAATAACTACATTAATTATTTTTTTTTAAATAACTTCATTAAATATTTTTTTAAAAATAACTTCATTAAAAAATTTTTTCTTAAATAACTTCATTAAATATTGTTTTAAAAATAACTTCATTAAATATTTTTTTAAAAATAACTTCATTAAATATTTTTTTAAAAACAACTTCATTAAATATTATTTTAAAAATAACTTCATTAAATATTATTTTAAAAATAACTTCATTAAATATTTTTTTAAAAATAACTTCATTAAATATTTTTTTAAAAATAATTTCATTAAATATTTTTTTAAAAATAATTTCATTAAATATTTTTTTAAAAATAACTTCATTAAATATTTTTTTTTAAATAACTTCATTAAATATTTCTTTAAAAATAACTTCATTAAATATTTTTTTAAAAATAACTTCATTAAATATTTCTTTAAAAATAACTTCATTAAATATTTTTTTAAAAATAACTTCATTAAAGGGATCCCAAACTCCCAACACATGTTGTGTTCATATTAAAGATAATGTTAAAAAAAAAGGTTTGAAGAAAATTTTTTTGATTAAAAATAAATAATGAATCCATACCGTGAAAAACAAATGTTGTTTTTTTTGCCGAAGCTTGTCTTCTCCATTTTTTTCAACTACAAGGAGTCTTCAAACTATGCGTCGCAATCTACAGACTTTGGCAATTCCTTTGAAGCGCGTTTAATTCATAAAAGTTTTAGTATTTGACGTCACAGTAGACTTTTAACAAAAGAAAAGTGTAATTAAACTAAGCTGCGTTTTTCTACTGTAGTATTTTTTTAACATACAGCAAAACAAATTTATTTGTATTATTTTTCCAAACATCGCAAAAAAAATTTTGTAAAAAGTAAAAGCAATAAATTATTTTTATTTTATAGGAGCAACTTATTTTTTACAGATACCTTAATAATTTTTAGATTTATATATCTTACTTATATTTCTTTGATTATTTAAATTAAAACAAATATTAAAGCTTTACTTACCAATCTCATGATTTTCATACGAGTATTTTACATTATAGAACATTTTATATACGGTCTCTCGTTTTTGTGCAAGAGAGCACAGTATTATATATTCTGATTCTTAATTATTTTTATTTAAACAATGGGAACTATTTTCTAACTTCTCTGGTTATTTTTACGCTATGACAATTTTTTGTTTTCCAGTGGAAAAAAAGTATTTATTAACAATTACTTTAATAACTGACAGTATTAATTAGAGATATTTGATGAATTGTTAACTTTTTTTATTATAAAAATTTTTTGATTACGCTGATTTAATTTAAATTGCTAAATTTGGATATGGATAAAAAGGAAATATCATTTTTGTTTTACATTTGTTATTTGATAATGAAATTTTTAAAATGTCAGCAACTCCATACCAATTAGAACCTGTTAAGGTTATGAAAAAAAAGTACAAGAATACACTAAACAATACAGTTGACAGTAGTATCAGATATGAAAATTCGTGAAAGGATATGTGAGATCCTAATTTTGCATTAAAAGTACAATTAATAGCAAATTATGTCAGCATTATAAATTTTGATTATAAGTTTACTGTTCAATATTTTATAACCATCAAATTAAAAACATGAAGTTCGTATATTTTTGCCTGTTTTAATACAACTAATATTTAACAAAAATACGAACAAATTATTATTAAATAACGCAATACTTAACACATTAATTAATGGCAATAATTCAAGATAGATGGTAATTTAAATTGTTAAAATATCATAACGTGCATTAAAAAACATATTATATTTGGTATTTCCCAATTTGTGCTGTAATTGGCATTTGTCTCTTAACATGAAAAATTAAAAAAATTTAAAAACACAATTAACAAATACAAATTTTCAAGCAATTTTCTCTTCCAATTCTCATTTATTCAATTCTTCCAATTCTCATTTATTCAATTCTTCCAATTCTCATTTATTCAATTCTTCCAATTCTCATTCAAAGAAAATTTAATATTAAACTTTTACTTCTCTTATCTAAAAAAAGAACGAAAAAATATTCTATACAACTCTTATTCATTCAAAGTTTAATTACACGAAACTTTTCTTTCTCTTTTGTTCTACTCTTTTATAAAAAGAGCGCCCGATGAAATAAAAACATATAATTATAGTTTGAGATAAAATTAAATTAGAAATAAATCAGGAATAAGCAAAGCAACGAACAGATTAATCTGGAACTATTTTGATATTTATGAAAATAATCAACATAAACAACATTACCAACAACAGTTATCAAATAAACAACACAATCTCGCATAATTTTAGGGGCATTTTACTTTTATTGCTTAGTCGTTCTAAATAATAAGTAAATTTAGCTCAAGTTAATAATTCAATATTTACAGTTGCAATATAATAAAGAAATGGTGTTTAATACTGAACTTTTTATTTAGTTATTTATTTTTTTACCTACATTTGTTATAAAAAACTTTAGAACCCCTGTCATTAAAATAATTTGTTTTAAATATATTTCGACGTGATTATTCAAACTTATTTTTTTCGTTTGACTTTCCGAACTTCATGCAAAGCAAATTGAAACGAAATATCGTCTAACCAAATAAAAAAGCTGTTACTAATTTTATACGGGTAATTAATGTAAAACAATTTTTGAGATAAATATTTTTTACTTAGATAAATTTTTTTAATTTTATACGGGTAATTAATGTAAAACAATTTTTAAGATAAAAGTTTTGAGATAAATATTCATAATTTATAAACATTAAATATATGGCGCAATAATAATTTATAGCAACGAACCAGCATAAAATAATTAAGGTTTTTATTATCTTTTTAAATATTAAAAGTAGAAAAAAAAAAAAAAAAAAACTAAACAAATAAACAAAAAAACTTCGACTAAAAATAAATAAAAATATTTCCAGAGTTTCTTTTGTTAAAAGTCTACCGTGACGTCAAATACTAAAACCTTTATGAATTAAACGCGCTTCAAAGGAATTGCCAAAGTCTGTAGATTGCGACGCATAATTTGAAGACTCCGAGTAGTTGAAAAAAATGGAGAAGACGAGCTTCGGCAAAAACAACAACATTTGTTTTTCACGGTATGCATTCATTATTTATTATTAATCAAAAAAATTTGGTTCAAACCTTTTTTTTTTACATTATCTTTAATATGAACACAACATGTGTTGGGAGTTTGGGATCCCTTTAAATATTTTTTTTTTTAATAACTTCATTAAATAAGTTAAAAATATTTTTACATTTTAAATATTTATTCTAAAGTTTATGATTACAGTAAAATTAAATGTTTTGCTTAGTTGTTAGTGTTAACATTGAAAACAGAAAAAAAATTATTGCTAAATTAAATTTCTTTAAATTTAATTCTCAAGTATATAATTATTAGTAAACAAATTTTTTAAAAAGAACAAACTAATTTTTAGTTACTAAGTTATTTAAAAACATTGAGCAACTTAGTTTGAAAGTTGAGCAACTTAGTTTGAAAGTTGAGCAACTTAGTTTGGAATTTAAGCAAGTTAGTTTGAAATTTGAGCAACTTTAAATTAGTTTAGAGAACTTAATTTATTAGTTAAATAAACATCTGTAAAAATTGTAAACATTTTTAAAATTAGTTAAATAAACATCTGTAAAAATTGTAAAAACTTTTCCATCTTTCTTTAGTGTTTACTTTTATATTCATTGAAAAATTCTTTTAATTTTAATTTTTTATAACACTTATTAATGTGCTGCTATAATTTTTTTCGAAATTGACAAGTATCTGCACACTGTGTATGTAAATTTTTTTACACACTGATGATCCTTCAAACTATTTACACATGCTTATAATTATTTTAAATTATTTTAAATTGCTTATAATTATTTTAAAATTAAGATAAACAAAAGTATTGTTTTACTTGTTCTTTATCAAAATTCATAATGGCTGATTGTAAATATCTCACACCACCATGAATAAGTTTTGTACTTCTACTGCTTGTACCAGATGAATAATCTCCCTTTTCAACTAACGCTGTTTTAAGACCTAAAATAGAAACATCATATAAGATTTAGATCAATTATTAAAAACCATTTTTAAATAATGATAATTTTGGAAAATATATCTTAAGACTACTTGAATCAACTTTAAAATATTGTTAACATTAATATTATTAGTGGCACAGCAAGTTACACAAACAGCTCAATAAGTTAAATTAATGGCTTTTTACAAGAATGGCTCAATAAGTTAAACAAATAGTTAAGCAGGTTGTTTAGGTTTAATATCTGCAATTTCAAGAGATATTATAACCAATTTAAAATGTGGTATGCTTTTAACCTTGGCCTGAAAATATTTATTAAATAATGATTAATGGAAAGATATCAAATACACACTTTCAACAATATTTTGTAACATTAAATAATGTCATACTTCAACAGCAACAGAAGTCATATATAACAATATAAACAAGTTTACCATTCAAGTAAACAGTTTTAATTGCGATATTTAAATATGCATTGTTTTAAAAGACCAGTTTTTCTGGTCTTTTAAAACAATGCATATTTAAAATTTGCAACAAAAGCAAATGTTGTGCATGCTTTTGCCAAAACCGGAATACAACTTTTAAATCCAAATATTTTTGAAGACTGCATGACGACATGAAGACATGCATTGAAGACTTTGCATCTTCATTAACAACAGGACAAGCTGAGCAAGTTAATAGCAATGATAAAACACAAGACCTTGAGAAATCAACCCATTTTGAAATCAGCTCTCCTAAAACTGAATAAAACAAAAGAAAAAAGAAAACAGGGAAAAAATTAGAATATGAATACTTCTTCAAATATCTAAGAATTAAAAGACAACACAAAGGAAAAAAATAACAAGGAAAAAAAAAAGAAAGAAAAAAGAAAAATCTTGTAATTTTTATTTTTTTCCCCCTTATCTTGTAAGTTTTAAGTATGATTTGTTAAATATATTTAAAAATATCTCTTACCACTATCCATAATGACTTTCAAAAGCAATTAAATAATGACACCACCAAGATAAAAACTTTCCAAAATATGTTCATTTTTGCAGATAAAATTCAAAATCTTTATGAAATTGATAAACTTTCATTTGAAAAACTTTTTATCGATAATATTACTAAAACTTATAAATAGTCTGATATTACACAATACAACAATACTAATAATATCCAAGAATATTCAAGAATATGGAAGAATATGGAAGCTAAAGTAATAGCAACAAACTTGATTAGAACATCTCGCTAGCCCAGCATTCATTACCGTTAAAGACCACAAAGAGAATTTTGCCAATAACCCTCAGTGTTGTTTAATTAAACCTGCTAAGTCTGAGCTAGTGTCAAAAGTCAGCAAAACTTTACTAGATGATATTTAAAAAAATTTGGAAACTCTATCGTTGTACACCATTCGCATAGTACAAATGAGATTTTAAAATGGTTCTACGATATGAATGACAAAAAAAACTGCAATATGAGATTGTTGATTTTTATTCTTTCGTTTCTAAACAACTTCTTCATGATTCCTTAGTTCACAACAAAAAATTTACTCAAATTTTGGATAAGCAATTGACATCATTTACCATTTTGGATAAGCAACTGACATCATTTACAAAAGGGGATATGTAAGTTAAAAAATTAGGAGATTATGATTTTGACGTTACAATGGGAAGCTTTGACGAGGCTGAGTTATATGAACTGGTAGGCTTTTTTTTATTTATTTACCATTAGCATTAAGGAATAAGGATTAAATACCAATGGTTTATAAAGAGTAATAATTTAAAAACTGTTAACTAGCTTGACGCTTTGCTCGACCTGTTTAACAACTCTTTCAACTGTATAGAAAACCAGGTGATAATCTGTTATATATCTATGTTAATTCGAACCATCCTCTGAATATTCTCAAATCTATTCCCACAATGATACCTAACCATATAAGGAGTATTTTCTCAAGTAAAGAAATATTTAATTGAGCTGCTCCTTTTTATAATAGTGCCCCTAAGTCTAGTTGATTTAAAGAATGTATTACTGTCGTTCTTAACAACTCTACAAAAGTCACAAAATCACAAGCATGAAACATTATTTGGTTTAACACTTCGTTTTCTATTAACGTCAAGTCAACGTAGCTAAACTTTAACTTAACTTAATCAATAAAAGTTTTCCAAAAATTCATAATTTATTATTAGCTATAGTTGTCTTCTAAATATTCGCAATAGCATCATTTCACACAACAATAAAATTTTATCAAATCCTTCTAACCTTAGTCTTCTACATGTGATTGCTGGCAGATTGATTTGTGTCCACATGATGGAAAATGTTTAAGTAATAATATTTATATATGCGATGTAAAAAAACAAACCCACAATATAAAAGGTATTACATTGGACTTACAGAAAAAACCTTTGAAGATTGCTTTTACAAGCATAAAAATTCTTTTCTTTATGAAAGTAAAGCTAATTCCACTAAACTTTCTAAACTTGTGTGGATTATCAGGTTGAATCGCTTAAACCTGGTGGCAAATTGTGTAATTTATGCTTGATAGAGAGTCACCATATAACTTCATGACCATTGCCTTTTTTAAACAAACAAAATGAATTTGCCTTTTTTAAACAAACAAAATGAAATTCAGGTCAGCGCTTTATTGTGCACTTATTCAATAGTTTATATAAAATGAAAAACATGTATACTTTGCATTCTGAAACTTTTAGAAATTTAGGTCAGCACTATATTGTGCACTCATTCAGTTGTTAGTGAGAAATATTAAAGCTCTTTTTTTATTTTCAATATTTCTATTTTTAAATTTTTCAACATTTTTTTGTTATCTTTATTTGTCTGTTGATTTATTATTAAAACATTTATTTAAATTTCTAATGCTTATTTGCTAAGTAAAAAAAGCCTGCAAAAATCTTGGCACAGAAAACTTAAAGATTTGAGATTGTATAGAAAAAACACATTTCACATTTGCAAAATAGTTATTTCATGATAAGCTATTTGCGAATAAAAATTATTACTTTATTTGACTTAAACTTCAAACTTTTAAAATAATCACAACAATAATCTTTGAATAATTTCAATATGAGAATGAGTTCAATAGCATATTAAATTATAAAATAATTTTTTAAACTTTTCTATAGGTTTATTTTTTTTTAATTGGTTTTTTATATAGATTTATAATCCATTATAATTGTTTAAAATAGTTAAAATTTCAAGTTTAAAAAAGATATAAATTGTGTTAAAATAAATAGGTGTTGTAAAAAGCTAAAATTACAAAGCGCTTTAAAAAAAAAGTTAAATTTAACTTTTCTCACTTATTTAACTTAATGTAAACATATATAAAAAATATAAAAAAGAATATAAAAAAGTATGTATATATACTTAATATAAACATATAATCTGTATATAAAAAAGAAACCTCTTGTACAAGCATCAAGAGCAACACCACAGCCAGTGGCTCCACCACCAATCACTAATATATCATATTCAGTTCCACTTTTCATTAAAGATAGTAGCTCAATTCTAAATAAATAAATACTATAACAGTAGATTACTTTTAAAACAAAAACTCAAAATGGAGTTAATAGGTTGTAGGGCAAGGTTGTGTAACATTTTTTGTGTGTTAATGTGTGTGTGTGTTTGTGTGTTTTTTGTGTGAAAATATGTATTATAAGGTTTTTAAATTGCAATACTTTCCCTTCTTGATAATAAGTCCTATGAATTTCTTTATTATTCAAATTAAATATTGCACTTTATTATTTAAGTTAATTATTTTACCTTTGCATTCAAATTAAATATTGTACTTTATTATTCAAATTATTAAGAAATGGGAAATCATTTTGGAGGAGATGCAATAATAAGTTGGAATAAACAGAACATTAAGAGGCAATAATAAGTTGGAATAAACAGAAAATTAAGTTATACAAGGAAGATGACTGAATATCATCTAGCTACACATTTTTTAATTACATTTTGATTTTTTAGCTTAGCCTCAATATTGCTAATATACTCTTTACTGTTCAACAACATGGTTTTCATTCTTAAAATTAGTCAAAAGTTACTACTTATTTACAAAAAAAAATAAAAGTTACTACTTATTTACAAAAAAATAAAACTTATTTACTTAGTTACTACTTATTTACTTAGTTACTACTTATTTACTTAGTTACTACTTATTTACAAAATTTTAACTATTATAACTATTTTAATTTTAATAACTCAAGAACAACTATTACACTCTTTATTACTTTTTTAATGACTCAAGAACAACTATTACACTCTTTATTACTTTTTTAATGACTCAAGAACAACTATAACACTTTTTATTGCTTTTTTAATGACTCAAGAACAAATATTACACTCTTTATTATTTTTTTTTATGATTCAAGAACAACTATTAGACTCATTATTACTTTTTTAATGACTCAAGAACAACTATTACACTTTTTATTACTTTTTTAATGACTCAAGAACAACTATAACACTCTTTATTAGTTTTTTAATGACTCAAGAACAACTATTACACTCTTTATTATTTTTTTTATGATTCAAGAACAACTATTAGACTCATTATTACTTTTTTAATGACTCAAGAATAACTATTACACTCTTTATTACTTTTTTAAATTTATTTTATAAAAATGATTATAAACTATTATTATTTAAGAATACTTTAGTTTAATAACTTTTTTATTAAATTTAGATTTTAATAAATATAACTATATTTGAATGTTTTTTAATCTACATTTTGGAAATAAAAAATTAACCTGGAAGGTAAAGACTTCTTTACGGACAAAGACTCTGGCAGTAGCAAATTTACTGACAATGCCTCTGAAACAACGGGATTTAGGATTGGCTAAAAAATACAAAAAATAAATTATACTAAGCATGTTATTTTATAACAAAAAATTAAAAAAAAAAAATAGTTACCTTTTCAGTAATATATTCCTTAAACTTGTATACTAATAAAGCACTGATTCCTAAACCAAACCCCTTCTTAGCAACAAGTAACATATTAACCATTTTATTAGTATTACAGCTAAATGCAAAATACATTAACATAAACATTTTTGTTTGTTGTTCAAGTAAATAATTTTTAATGTAAAATTTTGAAAATCTTTATTTATAAAGTTCAATAAAGATAACAATTTAAAATAAATATAAAAAATAATAATCAAAATAAGTAAAAGCTACTTTTATATAAATATATAAACAAAATAAATAAAAGTAACTTTTATAAAATCTTCAAAATAAATTTAAAAATTTTGTAAAATTATTAAAAACAATAATCTTTAGAAAAAGTAAAAAACTTATATATAAATATAAAATAATAATAACCTTCAAAAATAGTAAAGACAACTTTCATATAAATATAAAAAGATGATAATCTTCAAAATTACTTTACAGTATACATTTTTAACAAATAGCAATTTCAGATAATTAAAAAAACTTTACAATATCAAGTTGAAAAAAATTGACAAATTCAACAGGTGTCTATTAGTATTCTTTTAAGAAGACAACGATTCAAGTCTTTTAAGAAGGCAGCCAGGGTCATTGATTTTCAAAGATGTTAGATAGAAGCATCAAACCTTTATAAATATAATACAAGAATATATTTTTTTGACTTATGTTGTAACAAACATGTAGAAGTACACATAATTAACATAACTAAATAGAGTTTTTAATTAAAATCTAAAATCTTTATGTTCGTCAAATCGAAAAATTCACAATTTCGCAATTAATTTTTCAATTAATAGCGAAAAAAACATTATGGGATAACTGAAGGCGCAAACAAATCAAAGCATAATTTTAAACCATGTAAACAAATAAGTAAATAATTAAGTAAAGAAAATAAGTAAAGA